TCATTTCCAAAATTTTTTCTTAAATATGAAACTATGAGTCATACCTAAAATCTTAAATAAAAATCTCTAATTACCCTTGGAGGGCCTTGCGAGTTCATTTTCAAAATTTTTTCTTAAATATAAAACTATGAGTCATACCTAAAATCTTAAATAAAAATCTCTAATTACCCTTGGAGGGCCTTGCGAGTTCATTTTCAAATTATTTCACTTAAAAAGAAAATTCCAGAAATCATATACGAATGTGACATGAAATAAAATAGAAAAATAGATTCCACATGTGAAACTTTATTGTTGTCTTTTAATTTGATGATGAAATTGAGAAAGATGATAATTTTTATTAAAATAAAGAAATGCCACATCTTCAGTTGTGTCATAATGAATTCAAAAATTGAAATCATGACTAAGCTTTAGTGTATTAACATTAAACTTTTTAATGTTATCAATTTATAACGTCTTCAACCAGTCTATTTACAGTTTTCTCTAAACTTAATTTTTCATCTATTTAAATGTACCTAACTAAAAAAGACGTTTTTTCAAGAGCTTTTAATCAGCAGAAGATTTTAAAGAAAGACATTCTTGCAGATATTTATAATTCAAAATGGTCAATTTTTATTAATGAAAGCTAAATAATCAATTAATCAATAAAGAGAAAACAAGTTATAAGCTTTGCATTAAGCAAAGAATGGTTTTCGACTGCTTTGAGATGGCAGAGAAGAATTTTGAAAGAAATTGCATCTGTGGAAATAAAAATATTTAAGAAATTTAGTAAAACGAAAGAAGGTAGTTTATCTTACTGTTTGTTAACGCGTTTTGATTGGCTTTGAAGCATCGGAGCGTCTTCATTAAAGAAGCTGGAGCCGGATTTGCCTTTTGTCATTGAAGAATTAGGATTGATGAAAGTTCTTGAATGAGATAAAGAAGAATGATTTGAAATATGAGAAACAGAAGTTGACATCGTATTTTCTCTTGAATCTCGATACATCATTTCAGGTTTTCGTTTTTGATTAGCCAAATAAATTTTGTAAAGCTTCTCTTGCATCTGCTTGCGACGAGAAACCAATTTTTCGTAAGCAGTTAACATTTTCTTAATTTCCAAATCTTCCTTTTCTATCTTAGCTTTTATTTTAGCTGTTTTTACTTTCTGTGGAATATAAAAAAGGATAATTAAGAGCAGCAGATTTACTTAATATATGCCCAGCATTGATTACATATTCACTCGCCAACTTCACCAACCGTTTTTGATGTTTTCGTTGAAAATCCATTATTTGAGCTGGTTTTGCTAATGAAACTGGCTTGAAAAATACTTTCATTGTATCTGGGAGCTGAAGTGAAGAGAAAATGTAAATTTCAGAAGCTTTGAAGGAAGAAAATACTCTTAAGCATTCACCTTCATGACATTTTTGAAGTTTGCAGAAATTTTACAAATTGGACATTTTTTGGAGCCATCTAATTAAATTTCAAACAATTAAAAATGGCAGAAACCTATTTATTTATATTTAATATTATAATTTACCTGTAAAGTGTTTGCAACAAGATTGGCAAAATAAATGTGAACAACTTAGTAAGAAAAGTGTCTTGTTTTTCGTAAATGCAGAAGTACAAATATTGCATCGTAGCCAAAACGGAGGAGCCATTCTTTCATGAATTTAAATGTATAATGAAAGTTTTTTCCCTTTGTTCCTTTTAGATTTGAGAATTCTAGATTCGTTTTACTTGGCATGTCCCAATGCCGACTATGACGATTTTTATCCGTCAGATTATCTAATTAAAGAAGCGAAATTTCTTTCTCAAAATTTATTTTATTGACTTTTTTATCCTTCAACTCAAGTTCAATTTAGCGGTTCAAAAAAATTATTCAAATTTTGAACTGAATTTGTTGTGAGAGAATTTCAAGAAAATCAAACGAACATGTAAATTCATAATAAACATTTTATTAAAATATTCAATTTAAAATACTTGAAAAATAACACTCATAAAATTTCCAAAACTTTTGTTTCAATAAATGCACATTATATCTGGTTTTCGTCACGTTATATTCTTTAAAAATGGCAGAAGTTATTGCTGACACGTACTCATTGATATTCTTTATTCAATGCCCTTCCAATAAGCATTCGTCGTATTTCGCTGGTGCCTGCTCCAATTTCATAAAGTTTTGCATCTCTCATAATACGGCCAGCTGGATAATCATTTATGTAGCCATTACCGCCGAGTATTTGAATTGCATCAAGTCCAACTTGAGTTGCTTTTTCAGCACAATAAAGAATAACTCCAGCACAATCTTTTGGGTTTGCTTTTCCCAAATCACAAGCCTTAGCAACATTATATAAATAGCTTCTGCAGGCATTTAATGTTGTATACATATCAGCCATTTTACCTTGTAAAAGTTGAAACTCTCCAATTCTTTGATTGAATTGCTTTCTTGAATGAGCATATTCGAAGGCAACATCACAAGCAGCTTGCATCAAGCCAACTGGGCCACCAGCTAGTACCATTCTCTCATAATCCAATCCACTCATCAGCACATAAACTCCTTTGTTTAAATCCCCAAGAACATTTGTCGCTGGTACTTTGCAATCTTGAAAAATTAATTCACAAGTGCCTGATCCACGAATACCGAGCTTATCCAACTTTGGTCCGGTACTGAACCCTTCAAAGTTTTTCTCGATTAAAAATGCTGTTATTCCATGTTGAGGTGATACATTAGTATCCGTTTTAGCATAAACCACAAGAACATCAGCATCAGGTCCATTCGTGATCCAAAACTTTGTTCCATTCAAGACATAATAATCTCCTTTCTTTTCAGCTTTCAATTTCATTGACACAACATCAGATCCACTTCCTGCTTCACTCATTGCTAAGGCACCCATATGCTCTCCAGAACAGAGCTTTGGCAAATATTTTTCTTTCTGTTCATGGGAACCATTTCTGTTGATTTGATTGACACAGAGATTAGAATGTGCACCGTATGATAATGATATGGCACCTGAAGCTCGTGAAATTTCTTCATTAATAATTGCGTGATCCAAATATGATCCACCAGTTCCACCATATTCTGTTGCAGCTGTAATTCCTAATAAACCTAAACTTCCCATCTTCTTCCAAAAGCTTCTCAAATCTTTAAACTCATTGTTTTTATCAATCTCGTAAGCGAAAGGTGCCAGTTCCTTTTGTGCGAAATTAAAAACAGTCTGACGTAACTAAAAAAAATATTTGTCGTCATTGATAAGAATATTTACCTTAGTTATATGTAAAAACCTTGAAATTTACTTACAGCACTTTGTTCCTCGCTCAATCCAAACATGGCATCATCGATGGGATAATGTGTCATGGTACGGATACTAGAAACTCTAAATGACACATTTTGTAATATTTTACCGCAGGATCGTAGCATTTTTTTAAAAAATAGGTCGCGAGTCAATATCAAAATAATAATTGACGAGTTGCGATTCGCATGAAGTTTAATATTTTCTTTAATTCGGACCGTAAGTGAAAATAAAAATTTACGTTTCGCATTCAGGTTAGTCTCTAAAAAGATGATAAGAAATTGTATAAAAGTTATAAATAATACAAATCGTTCACTATTTTTACCTTCTAGAACTTTTCATGTAAGTAGAATGTCTAATAGCGACGAAGTTCAAAAGGCACAGCAAGCTCAACCCGGTGGTGATACCATTTTTGGGAAGATTCTCCGAGGTGAAATTCCTTGCAAGTTTATTTATGAAGATGATGAGGTGAATAGTCAAAATAAATATGAAATTAGGGTAATCGATTATAATTATGATCTATAGTGTGTAGCGTTTCATGATGTGGCACCTCAAGCACCAGTTCACTTTCTTGTAATTCCTCGAAAGCCGATACCACAACTTTCGAAGGCTTCCACAGAAGATGAGAAACTTTTAGGACATCTGATGCTTGCTGGAAAGAAAGTGAGAATTTCCTGCTATTTTAAAGTAATTTTTCATGTTGATTGAACTTTTACAGGTTGCCGAAACTTTAGATTTGAAAGACGGTTATCGTGTTGTTATCAATGATGGTAAATTAGGATGTCAGAGCGTTTATCATCTTCATTTGCATTTCTTATCTGGACGTCAGTTGGGTTGGCCTCCTGGTTAAAGCATTTTCTTTATGCTTTTATATTTTCTATGATTCTAAATGCTGAATAAAGAATAATAATAATAAAATTAAATTTAGAATGTTTTGTGCATTGTTGATGTTTTCCTCGGACAATGTTTTCCATCCGGTCAATGTTTTCCCAGCATCAATATTGTTGTTCTTTCTTCTTGCGATTCGCAATTTCGTTTCAATTCCAAAGGTGATCGAAGTTTGCGTCTAATCAAACAAATAAATTTCCATCAATTTACTAGTTCATCAAGGACTAATTTTACAAAATTTGGAAGTTTATTATTTCTTTTCATCGAAATGCTGAAGTTTTTGGTAAAAAATATTTTGTGAACATTAAAATTTCATTCTTATGCAATTTTAAATGTCACTTTGGAGATTGATCTAAAAATAACTTTTGTTTGCTTTTGTAATTTTCAACCATAGGCTACTCTAGGGGTAGGAGTCTATGCAGGCATGTACATTGCACAAAACTATGATGTCCCTAAAGTCGATGAACCTGGAAAAATAGTAGAAAAAGTTCAAGGAATGTTTGAAACAGCAAAAAAGGAAGTCGAGGACGCAAAGAAGAAAATCGACAAATAAGAGAATTCTAAATGTTACATTATAAAGGCATTTAAAGAATTAATCAAGTTGATGTTTTTTTGCCGGTTAACATCCCATTAATTTATTGTAAAATTGTAACTCATTTGAAATAAACATGAACTTAAATTAAACTAATTCCGCCATCAGAAAATTCAATTCTCTGCTGAGGATCGACAAAAGCAAGCCAATCGGATGCATGAGTTGGAAGCAATCCCATCGAATGACATTTATAAAGCGCTAATCCAATGTTTATTAAATTTCCAATAAAGAAAATAAATTTCTGGAGTGCAATGTTTTGATTAATTTCGAAGCTCTTAAAAGTTTGCGATGTTGTAAAGATAGCCTTTAATGGTCTGATTAAACTCATTCCCACCATCATTATGGGAAATATTGAGATCGAATTGCCTGCCATGTACATTATCAACAAATTCATTGGAATCTGAAAGAGGATTTAATTAGTGATTCGTCTGGAATTCTGGATTATGAAATAATATTTTACTTACTCCTTTAACTGGACCTAAAGCTACATCCCATGACTTCTTTATGATCAATTGACTTTGATCTGTATCCCGTGCAACTTCACTGTGATGTTGACCAGCTGAAAGGTTGTAGCCAGGAGGGGAGGCATAGTCCGAGTTCTTATTTGACCTTAATTATTAATTGGGATTAGAATCACACAAATAAATGAATCAATCTATAGAAAACTTACTTTGTATTGAACTCTAGATTCCATTTAAACTTTTTTGAAGATAATTTGGACATTTTAAAATGCTAATTTTTAAATTAATTTATATTTTTTTGATTTTCGTGTTTAAATGTGAAAATTGAAAATACATGAACCGAATCGCAGTACAAAACTGAAAGTGAAAACCGCAACTGATAAAACTGTTTTCGAATGCGATTTACATGCGAAAATTTCATTCAAAACAACGCATTTAATTTTCTTATCAATTCTTCTTAATTTCTCGAGGCAAACTCATTTAAATAATCAGGAAAATGATGTCAATATGTCGAAAAGTCTTACCAGCATCAAGGTAAGTCAAAAAGTTTTGAGAAAATTATTTATTTAAGTGTTAATTTTGGAATTATTATTATGCAACAATCTTACCGCAAAAATCATCAACAAAAATAAGAGAAATTTCTGGAAGAATAATATTTTCTTTCTTATCAGAGGATTGGCTTCAATTACATCTGTTAGAAATAAAGCGACATTGCCTGAGTTACCATATGAATATGCTGCACTTGAGCCAATCATCAGTCGCGAAATAATGGAACTTCATCATTCCAAGCATCACCAAGCTTATGTTACAAACTATAATGCAGCAAAAGAACAATTGGATGATGCTGTTGCAAAGGAGGATGCAAATAAAATCATAACTCTTCAGGGAGCTTTGCGTTTTAACGGTGGTGGTCATATTAACCACTCAATCTTCTGGAAGAATTTATCACCAGAAAAATCTTCACCATCAGACGCACTACAAAAAGCAATTATTAAAGATTTTAAATCAATGGACAATTTGAAAGCTGAATTAAAAGCTGCTGCAGTTGGTGTTCAAGGAAGTGGCTGGGCCTGGCTGGGATTAAACAAGAAAACCGGTAACTTGCAGGTCGTTCAATGTGCTAACCAAGACCCATTACAAGCTACAACCGGTTTAATTCCATTGTTTGGAATTGACGTATGGGAACATGCTTATTATTTGCAATATAAAAACGTTCGACCTAGTTATGTAGATGCCATCTTCGACATTGTTAATTGGAAGGATGTTTCTGAGAGATTCTCGGCTTAAACTCAAGATAAATGAAATTTTAAGAAGAAACATTAGATTGCGATTCGCTTGAATTTCAAATTAAAAATCCGGTTCGCAAATCTGAATTATTCACAGCGGCGATGAGAAAATAATAAAACAAAGATAAAAACAAAGAAAGAAAGAAAAGTTTTCTTCTTTAACAAGAACTTGCAGGTGGTAGTTTGTTTATAACAAACAAATGCTTGATAACCGTTCACAATTTGAAAATGATTTTTGAACGACATCATTGCGCAGAATCAGAAAATGGGAAAAATTTTCTATAAAGAAAATTCATTATTTAAAGTTCGAATTGCAAAGGGGAGAGTCGTGAAAAGTTTGAACATGAAAATGTGAAAATTTTAAAAGGATAATTAACAATTTCCAAGGTGAAGCTTAAAGGAATCACTAAAAAGAAGAATTATTGGATATTATTACGATTAAAGTCCCAACACCACTGGTAAGTACGAAAGATGAAAAAAAAACTTAATTGATCAATTCTACTTCATGACTCATAAGCTAGCTCGTATATGTCATCAAAGATTATTCTGGATTGCTCAATTTTCGGAATAATCTCATAATCAAATTAAGTGTCTAGCTTCACAACATTTCAGAGTTTTCGATGAAAAATAATGAAAAAATGTTTTCAAGGGTGGAAAGATGAAAATTTTCTGATCCGTTATGGGGGTGGGAAAAAGAAAAAAAAAATATGGCAGTATAGAAAGGAAAAACGTCAATCAACGTTATTAAAAGTTTTTGAGTTGGTGTTCAACTAAAATTATATCATATAACATAATGAATATCCTTGATGACAGGGGTCAAATGAACATTTAATTATCGTGCGCAATTTGCAACGAGCGATAAAGTTCAAGGATAATATTTTAAGGCCTTTCATCATTTCTGAATTAAGAATATGTATTTCTCAACAACCTTTTCCAAATGTTACTTAAAGGAATTTCGAGACCTTTTTCCTAATCTTATTCCGAGATAATAGCACTTGCTTATTCAAAGGTTTTCGTCCCTTATTCAAGGAAAAATTGCACCATTTTGTTCACCTGAAAGAAAAAGAACTGCGCGTGTAGAAACTTTATTTCTTTCTTCTTTTTCTCGCTTTCTTTTTTGTTGTAAGGTTTCTTATCAGCATTAACATTTAGCACAAAAAGATTTTCTTGCACGAGTGAAAAAGATGATGGAACATGAAAAATAGATTTAAGGCTTTTGTCAGAAGCAAAATTGTGGGAATTTCCGACTGCAAATGGTGTTGAAGCATCAGAATGCTTCATGCCTTCTTTTTTTCCATGATAAAAGCAACAAAACACAGATGAAGTGAGAGAGAAAGAGAGAGAGAGTTAGAATAAAACAAAAAAAGTATGATAAATATCAACATAAAGAAAATGTCCAATGACCCGTATGTTGAAAACTTTTTCAAACACAGAAAACTCATTAAAACAACTTGAAGTAATGCTGAACCAAATTACAGAGGATTTTCTCTGTTTTTAATTTAAGGAAAAAAAATGTGAAGCTTATGATGAGAAAGATAACGCGACATTTAATCGAATTGCTATGGGATTAAAACCAGATGCCGCATTTTCATGCTGACTTGTTTCTCTACTTCTTGTATTTATTTCTCCAGTGTCCTAGTTGAACAACTTAAGAGTAAGGAAAAATTAAAGAAACTTTCTCTCAGTTGAATAATAATACATAATATGTACTCTAACAAGAAACTTCATTAGCATTCGAAGCATGCATCGGACATTCATGTTTCTTCTACCTGAACGAACCTACAATTTCCCACATAAAATCTTTAACCGTTTCATGAAGCTTAATGAAAACTTTTACATCGCAATAATTTCTGTTTTGATTTTAAATCCAATTTTCTATATTGAAACATTTTTTTTCTTCTATTATCGAGGTTAACAAACATTGAAAAAGGTTGAGAAACTTCACTTCTTCGTCTTATTTTCTTGTTTTGAAATTAAAAAATAAGAAAAGCAAAAACATCCTTCAAAACATGTTGTCGGTTTATGTCGCTTCTCTTCGATATGCTAACACGTGCCACCATTTATTCAATGTTCGTTATTTTCAGCTTAAAACTCTGTGTTTCAAAAGTGGGCGGTGTGGGTGGTTGAAACATATTCCTGAATCATAAAAGCTGTGGCTCTTGGAATGAAGTATGTAAAAGAATTCTTCCAATTCTGCTATTTTCTTATTGTGTTCATGTCGTTCATCATGACTTCAATGAATCACCGAATTTCCATTCAAAACTAGTTTTCCTTTCTTTCTCTTCATGTGACCAGTTGAAGAGTTTTTCTCCTATTGATTTTCATTGTTGGAAGCCTTGAGGAGGAAAAAAAAGAGATCATGTAATAAAAATTGTCGTACATCCTAATTTATTTATTCTCAATGAGATTATCTTTTACCACCATGAAGAAATGAAAGGTGAAGTTAATGTGAATGGCTTTGTTGACGTTCACATTTTCCGTTTTCCTTTCAACATTCGTGGGTGGAAAATCATTTTCTTCCTCGCTTATGTCTTAAATATGAACAGAAATGAAGAAGATAGCGAGAGAAACGTAAATGGATGTAATCCTCTAGTGTCAAATGCTGTTGAACATTTTTATGCTGCTAGCTTAAGGTGAAGGAAATAAAGAAAAGCTTGTAAATAATTTGGATATAAGGAATATGTTCTCCCAAATCCCAAAATTTTATTACATGAAATGTAATAGTTTTGTGGAAATATTTCTTCAACACCGGAACTACATTTGATGTTGTGACTTAGTAGAAAGTTTCAGATTCGATATTTTTAAAAATTTAGTATTGATCATCATCTCACTTTTATATCCCGAATCATTTGCAATGACATCGAAGTTAAATAAAACATGAATTTTATATCATCCAATTGCTATCAATTACCAGTTTTCTTCTTTCGTTCTTCATGACTCTTTCGAGATAGAAGAAAATTGCATGAAAATACATAAAATATCTACAAGCATCTGAGTTCATGTTATTTACTCGTTTGTTCGTTTGTCGTCCCACTTTATGACTTAAAAGAAGAATATTATTCGTTTTCATGCCAAATATTGAACAAAGTTTCAATAAATATTATAGAGTCAGCCACAATCAATGACTCCATAAAAAAGGAAATTTTCTATTTTCCCACACAATTCATTTAACAAATAAATTGCTTTCGGACCTCAGAAAAAAATTTCCGGAATGAGCTTTGATGAAACGAAGCTTAAAAATTTCATTGTTTGGGTTTTGTTTTGCCTTGAACGTGACGCATTGGGTGATAAGATAAATAATACAAGAAGATCAACGTTAACATCTTGGTAAATAAGTTTGCGTGATGGAATACTTCGTAGCACTACAACTCACACTCATTCATGACATATCTAATATTATATCAGGTCATGCATGTGTGTAAATTGTCCAAAGAACTCACAGTTTGTTCTTTGCCTCTTCGTCACGACAACTTCGAAACATTAGACACGAAGGCGTAGGAAGGAAATTTCATTTTCATAAAAATAAATTCTTTATGAAGCTTCAATCTCTCTTTGGGTTTGGGAGAAGTAAAAAAGGAAAGAAAAAAAAGAAACAAAAATTTTCCGCTTTGCGCAAAGCTTTTTCTTTGTGAAAGCTTTCCATTGCAAGCGCAGGTTTTCTCCGAATTATTATGTATAGAAAAAGGAAATTTCCCAAGCTCTCATTTCGTGTCGAGTGCTAGACTGTGAAACATTGAACAATGGAAAAACAAATTTTCCTGAGGAAAGTTTTAAAGTAAATATTTCACATTTAATAAAAACGATTTTTGATAAAATTTTATGTCCTTGAAAGAATAAGTGAAATGTTTTTTTAATCACAAGAAATATGCAAAAGTTGTGGAAAGTCATTGAAAAAAGGATAAAGAAATAAAGTGAAAATTTTTCTTATCAGTTTTCTTCAACTATTGCGTGTTGTGAAAAGCGAAAAATTAGGAAAAACACAAATTCAAGGATTATTAACAAATTCCATCTGATAAAAACACACACACACACAAATTCTAGTGTAATTAGTTATCCATAAGTAGTGACGCAATTTCTTTTGGCTTCTTGTTGATGAAAAAAAAGAGAAGAAAGACAAGAAAAAAGAAAAAAAATTCAATATGGAAAGCGAACTTGACTAAGTGGAAAGCAAACGAACGTCGATGAATTATGCAATAAATGGTTTGAATCCATAATTTATCTCCATTTTCATTTCCATTCGAAGATGCTTCTTATGGAATAAATTTACATAGTTAAAGAAAGAAGCTTCTAGCGATGGCAACTGCCAGAGCGTGACGTCATCGTTTACCCCCATAAATCTATCGATTTTCTCGTTACCCTGCTATGAGACTTTCTTTCCACTCTCTATTTTTTCGCCTTCGCAATCGTGCAAGTGGAATGAGAGATGGAAAAGCCGAAAAACACGCCGCAACAACAACCATATTGAGTCCTAGAGACTTCGTGGAATAAAAGCTCAATTTTCCAAACATTTTCACATTTTCCCTCTTCGTTCTCTTTCTCTCTTTTGTTATTAAATGGAAAATTTCAAATTATCTCGCTTCTTTGCGTTTAATGAATGCAACTCTCGTAATGTGTTGTTCTAGTCTTCAACAAACGATTTATGATGTCGCCTAAAATCCTACATCGATAAAAGCACAACTACAAATAGCGGAAAGTTTGTTTCGTTTCTTTTCTTCCTACGACGAATACAGTGGGCGAATATATTATATAAAAGTATGAATCACTGAGGCGATTGATGGCGCCGGGTGACTTATTATAGCGTGCCGTTGCTACTTTTCTGTTCCTCCTTTTATTTATTCTTCCTTTTAAAATTAAAGAAATAATTTTTGCTTTCCATTTCATTCATGATGAAGTTAAAAAGCAATTTTCTCGAACACGATAACAACTGTCATCAACCTTTTAGATTGCATTGTGTTCTCATTCTAATTTCTAATTTTTCTTTTTCAATTTATTCAGAGCGTGTTAAACACGAATTAAAGTTTAAAACGAGGTGAAGAAATATTCTTGGGTCAACGCTTAGACATCATACAAACACTCATCAGGTTAATTAAAAATCTTTGTTGAATCATCAAATAAACAAAACATTAGAAATGTCATCAGTAAAAGTCGCTGTTCGCGTTCGCCCTTTTAACACAAGGGAAACAACTCGCGATTCAAAATGCATCATAGAGATGTTTGACAACACAACAGCGATTACAAATCCAAAAGTTCCACCAGGAACAAGCGACTCAGTGAAGAGATTTAACTTTGATTATTCTTATTGGTCGCATGATGTGAGTTTGAAAATGTTTTTGATTTGAGAAATGTTTTTTATTTTGATGATTTTAATTGTTGAATAGCAAAACGATGATCATTTTGCAACACAAGACATGGTCTACGCTGATATCGGCGAAGAAATGCTGCAACATTCCTTCGATGGATACAATGTTTGTATCTTTGCTTACGGTCAAACAGGAGCTGGAAAATCATACACAATGATGGGACGGCAAGAAGAAGGTCAAGAGGGAATCATTCCAATAATCTGTCAAGATTTATTTAAAAGAATTCAAGAAACAACAACAGATGATCAAAAATATTCTGTGGAAGTCTCGTACATGGAAATTTATTGCGAACGAGTGAGAGATTTGTTGAATCCGAAGAACAAAGGAAACTTGAGAGTTCGTGAACATCCTGCTTTGGGTCCATATGTTGAAGATTTATCGAAGCTCGCTGTAACTTCATATCAAGACATTCACGATTTGATTGATGAAGGGAACAAAGCGAGAACTGTCGCAGCTACAAATATGAACGAAACCAGTTCAAGATCTCATGCTGTCTTTACAATTTTCTTCACACAAACTCGTCAAGATCACATGACTGATCTGGTAGCTGAGAAGGTTTCGAAAATCAGTTTGGTTGATTTAGCTGGAAGTGAGAGAGCTGACAGTACCGGAGCTAAAGGGACAAGACTTAAGGAAGGTGCGAATATCAACAAATCATTGACAACGCTTGGTAAAGTCATTTCAGCTTTGGCAGAAGTTGTAAGTTAATTAAACATTTCATTGATTTTCAATCTAAAATTTTCTTTTCTTCTTCCTTAAGTCGGCACAAAAAGGTAAAAAATCAAAGAAAGCTGAATTCATTCCTTACCGTGACTCGGTATTGACGTGGTTGTTGCGTGAGAACCTTGGTGGTAATTCTAAAACGGCAATGATTGCGGCCATTTCACCAGCTGATATCAATTACGACGAAACATTAAGCACATTGAGGTAAGTCAGGAGAATGAAATTTTGTCACGTAAAAAGAAAACTTGAGTTAATTATAAATTCTTCACAGATATGCTGACAGAGCGAAACAAATTGTATGCAAAGCTGTTGTTAACGAAGATGCCAACGCGAAACTCATTCGAGAACTCAAAGAAGAGATTCAGAAACTTCGCGAGCTTTTGAAAAATGAAGGCATTGAAGTTGAGCAAGGTAAGTCACTCGAATTATTTAAAATTTAAATAAAGCGACGAAAACTTTGTTATGAAAGGAATTAATTGTTTGATAATCAAAAAATCATTTGAAAGAAATATTTTTGGCAAATGGAAAAAGTGATTATGAAGAAAATTTCATGACAATAATGAAACTTCGCAAACTTTCTTTTCTTTTAAAAAAGTTCATTTATAAGAATTTTATTTTTATTCTACGTTGATTCATTCAGGCGTTGAAGTGAGAGTTATAAATAATGAGAAGCGTGATGGTAACAGTAAGTAAAAAAGTATTTTAATCAACTTTCCGCCTGCAATAATAATTTGTAAATTAAATGTTAAAAATAATTCTCGCTGCCATTCGATAACAAAATTAAATTCGCCTTTCAATGCTTTTAACGCAAGTGTGTAAGAAAACTTTGTTAATTTATTAATAAAAGAATTTCCTTTATCAACAGGAGATGATGAATCTAATAATAACACAATTACAAACGACAAAGCACCGTCACCAGCACATAAACGTGACAAACCGATGAGATCAACATCAACAACCGAAACTGATTTAGCTGTTGACCAATTGCATGCATCTGAAAAATTGATTGCTGAATTAAATGAAACTTGGGAGCAGAAATTGAAGCGAACTGAAGAGATTCGTCAACAAAGAGAAGCAGTTTTCGCTGAAATGGGTGTTGCTGTTAAGCCTGGTAAGAAATTCTTTCATTTTCCTATTTTTTGTGAATTATGAAAAATTATTGAAAACCTTACAATTCCAATTACTAAATTAATAAATTCATTGAAATTCTCTTTCAGACGGAATAACAGTTGGTGTGTTCAGTCCCAAACAAACACCACATTTAATTAATCTCAATGAAGATCCGACACTTTCTGAATGTTTGTTGTATTACATTAAAGATGGTGTCACAAAACTTGGCACATCGGAAGCTGAACTTCCACAAGACATTCAACTGTCTGGATCTCATATATTGAAAGAACATTGTGAATTTCATAACGATAATGGTGTCGTAAGTGTCATCACAAAGCCTGATGCTTTGATTTACATTAATGGAAGGAAAATTGTTGAACCTGAAGTGTTGACAACCGGATCTCGTGTCATTCTCGGCCGAAATCATGTTTTCCGCTTCCAACACCCACAACAAGCTCGAGAGAAACGTGAAAGGAAAATTTCAGAAAATCCAAACGAACAAACACTCGATGACGGCAGTGGTGATGAAGTTGTGGATTGGAATTTTGCTCAATGTGAGTTATTGGAAAAGCAGGGAATTGATTTGAAGGCAGAAATGAAGAAACGCTTGATTGCACTAGAAGCGCAATTTAAGCGTGAAAAGGAAGAAGCTGATCAACAATTTGAAGAACAAAGAAAGACTTACGAAGCTCGCATTGATGCATTGCAAAAGCAAGTTGAAGAACAATCAATGACAATGTCGATGTACAGCAACATGACATCAGGAACTGATATGGACTTCAGTTTAGCGAGAATACTCGACGATGGCTATGAAGATGAAGAGAACAGTATTTACGAGAATCCACTTTGTGAATCGTGGACTAATCGTCAACTTGATTTAGCTTCGTGGGTGTTTAAGAAGTGGAAGAATCATCAATTTACGTCAATTCGTGATGGGTTGTGGGGCAATGCAATTTATTTAAAAGAAGCAAACGCCATTTCAGTTGAGTTGAAGAAAAATGTTCAATTTCAATTTACTTTGTTATCGGATACACTTTACACTCCCCTTCCGAATGAATTGAAAGAGAAATCAAATGATGATGAGTTGACACCAGCACGAACTGTCGTTGCTGTTGAAGTCAACGATCAAAAGAATGGAGCGATTCATTATTGGTCACTTGGAAAGTTGAAGCAACGTCTTGAATTGATGCGTGAATTGTATCATAGTGATGGTGTTGATTCATATGATTACAATGTTGAATCATTGATTGGATACGATCCTTTTTATGACCGCTTTCCATGGTTTCGTGTCATTGGACGTTCATTTGTATATTTGAGCAACTTGCTTTATCCAATTCCACTTGTACAGAAAGTTGCAATCGTAAATGAATATGGCGATGTTAAAGGATATCTTCGTGTTGCTGTTCAAGCTGTTTTCGATAATGATTGTCACATCATTAATAATCAAATCATGAATAATAATAATATAAATAATAACAACAATAATAACAACAACAATGGTGTGTCAGTTAATCAACTTGCACGTGTCGTCTTCAGTGATGGCACCAAATACAGTTACGATGAAAGATTCATTGAAGAGAATGGAAATGAAGGTGTTGGCGGTGATGAAGAGAAATTGAAAGCAACACAAGATGATGACGCACTTGGTGAACATTTGAAGCTTGGAAATGAATTTAAATTCAGGATTATTGTGTTACAAGCTTACGATGTTCCAATCGAATACACCGACATTTTCTGTCAATTTAATTTCCTTCACAATGGAGGCGAAGAAGAAACATTCTCAACTGAACCGATAAAGAATAAACATGACAAACCTATTGGCTTTTATCACATTCAAAATTTGACAGTGAAGATTACAAAGAAGTTTATCGATTACATTAAAAGTCAGCCGATTTCATTCAAGATTTATGGACATTATAATGGAAATGTTACGAAGAACATCAAACAGAATACTCGTGCACCACCAAAACGATTACGACAACTTCCAAGCATCACAATGAGTCAACCAATTCGCAGTACAAAGTTTACACAGCTTGCGATGTCACCAACAACTGAAAGGAAAACATCATCAGCGACTTCAACTACAACAGTTTTCACCAAACACGACATTCTTGTTTGGTTTGAAATTTGTGAACTTGCACCGAATGGCGAATATTTGGCTGTTCCCGTTGATGAAGTCAGTGGAAGTTTTCTTCTTCATCAAGGCATACAACGACGCATTCGAATCACAATTGTTCACGAACCAACCACAGAATTGAAATGGAAAGATATTCGTGAAGTTATTGTTGGACGTATTCGCAACACACCAGAATCGTTGGATGAGTTTGATGATGCTGGCGCTTTATCATTGGGAATCTTTCCTGGTGAATTACTTGAAGTACGAAATGATGAAAGAACTTTTTATCAATTTGAAGCAGCTTGGGATTCAAGCTTACACAATTCAAACTTGTTGAATCGTGTGACACAAAATGGTGAAACAATTTACGTGACATTGTCGAGTTATCTTGAGGTAATTTTGATTAATAATTGATTAAGTAATTAAATTAATGAATGAAATTGACAGTTGGAGAATTGCTTGCGACCTGTGATTATTACAAAGGATCTGAGTATGATAATTTATGGACGTGACGCACGTATCGGACCAAGATCATTGAAGAGTCTTTTCTCGGGAAAATCAGGCACAACAAACAGGTCGAGTGCACTCTACGAACTCTCGCTCAAATGTGCTAATAAAGCTGGAAGTCCTGGTAAGTAATTGAAAAGAAATTCTTCTCATTTAATTTCAATCTAATTAACTTTTTCTCTTCACCATCACAGGAGTTCAAAGACGACAACGACGTGTTCTTGACACAAGCACAACTTACGTTCGTGGTGAAGAAAATCTAAAGAATTGGCGACCACGCGGTGATTCATTGATCTTTGATCATCAATGGGAATTGGAAAAGTTGACACGTCTTGAGATGGTTGAGCGTGTTCGATATCTGTTGTTGTTGCGTGAACGTTTGGGTCTTGACGAGCTTGTCAACAGCAAGAACGATAAGAATGTTAATAATATGATTGCGAGAGATGGCGACACTACAATTGATGAAGAAGATATGTTGCCATCAGATGTCGAAGATGAAGAAGATGACGATGAATTGTTGGAAGAAGAACGTGATGATAATGATGAAGTCAATGAACGTCAACGAATGATAATTGAAAAGTGTTTGAAGCTTCTCAATGGTGGTGCGTCAATCGATTTGAGTGCAGCAACATCGCCATTGACGCCAGTCTCATCATCATCGTCGTCTGGTGTCTCGTCAGCTGATGAGAACAGCAACATGACCATCAGTCAATATTCCATTAACTCAGCAAGTACACCATCGTTAAGTGAAATCTCAAATGATTGGCAACAACAGCAACAACAGAAACAAATCGAACAAAAAGTCAGCAACAGTAAAGTTGATCACATTCAATATTTCATTCCCGATTTGGAAGAGATTCCAACGAGCTCGATGGTGACAAGGAAAGGTTATTTGAATGTTTTGGAGCATGGATGTTCAGGATGGAAGAAGCGATGGATTGTTGTACGTCGACCTTACATTTTCATTTACAAATGTGACAAAGATAACATTGAACGTGCTGTTTTGAATCTCACAAATGCACAAGTTGAATGTTCTGAAGATCAAATGGCGATGATTAAAATTCCCAACACATTTAGGTTTGCATTAATTATAATTTTCAATTATTCAGAATTAAAAAGAAATTTTCTTTTCTTTCTTTAGTGTTGTCACCAAATATCGCGGATATTTGCTTCAGACTTTGAATGAAAAAGAAGTTTATGATTGGCTTTATGCAATCAATCCATTATTGGCTGGAAGAATCAGGTGAGTTTAATTTATTCTTATCCTTTATAGTAAATTTAATCATTTAATTTCCTTTCAAAGATCTCATTTAGCTCGTCAAAATATTGACATCGCATCATCACCAACAAAGACAATTTCATGTACGACTGGAACCACAGCTCACAAATTCATCAATCGACAGAAGATTTTTAATATGAACAAATGAGATACCCTCACGATGGAATCTGTGTTGTTGTATTAAAGATGCTTTTATCTTTTTCTTTATTTTTCATCAACTTTGCCGCTCCATTTTTGCCCACCAAATAAAAAGAAAACAAAAAACACACAAAACAGATTTCAAATAAATGGCCGGCCGAGTTTGTTTCATCTTCTTCTGAAGTTGTTTAATGAATGATGAAGGTAAAATAATTAATTAATTAATGATAACACATATTCCATCGTTTCATTTTGAGTCAAACAAATAGAAAATTATTAAGTGGAAAAACATATGCAAAGGAAAAAAATTAATCCCTAAGATTAAATGGATAATCTTTAAGAATAATAATCAAAAGAAACCTGTAAGAGCATGATGAATATTAATTATGTAACTTTTCTCTTACTTAACTCTTTCTCCCTTCTATGACGCCTTCAGTTTTGATCCCGCAAAAGCTTGTGAGTTACAACTTATAGAAAAACAAAAATTCTTTAAATTGAGTAAACTTTCTTCGACGAAAAACTTTAAATACCTATCTAAAATAAAAAAGAAGAAAAAAAATATCGCGCTTTGTGACATCAAAGATAATTTTTTGTGCAAAAAACATGAATAATCCTATCACTTGAATGATTAAATGAATAAATTTTTAAGAGTAGAGAAATGTGAAGGCAATTTGGATAATCTTAAAGATTTTAATTCCATAAAACGTCTCCAGAAATGCAAGGAAATTCTTTTTTTAATTAATTAGACTTGGATTAAACCGGGATTAAATCAGATTAAGAATCGGATTAAAAATCTAAACTTAATCAAGATTAGCTAATCCTTGGAATTTCCAAATTCGTGTTGAACTGTAAGATACAAAAAACATATTTTTTAATATTAAAATCAAATAATTTTCCTTTTTGTTTAAATCAAGTCATTAATTTTATTAAGTTGTATTCAGAACAATTCTTCCCGTCAGTTACTTAAGACAAGTTTCACTGATATTAATTTATAAACTGTCGGAAAATTTATTTGTAAAAGCTTCAAGTGAATTGTTATGATGAACTTAAAATAGAAAAATATATTGATTGAATACTCAAACTTTAAGTTTCATTCATTTTTCTTAGTTTTGTTAGCATGGAGACAAAAAGTTTTTTTCGAGTCTCTTTAATATAAAATGAAAAGAAGATAAAAAAATTAAGATATCAAAAACAAACAACAATATTTATGATCAACCCAAAGGAAAATTATGAATAAAAATTGGATGAAAAATTATTAAATTATGAATTGTTGAGTCGTTATTCAATGAATCTTACAGGCACATCAATCTTGGCGTTGTCAATTAGAATGCTGACGAAAATCGGATCATAAATTTGTTTGATGAAAGCGTTTGATTTTGGTAAGACTTTAATTTCAACACTTTCACCCGGTTCAATAGAGCCACAAGCTTTAATCGCTGTTATGTAATGACTTTTCGTTGAAACTGCTTCAGCATACAATGGATTAGCACACGTTGATTCAATGGTGATAAGTTTCGGAACGTTAGGTTGGTCATAAGTGAGACTGAAGGTGACTTGTGCTGGTGACACTCGGAAGAATTTACTCTCGAAGCAACTGTTGAAGAATGAAGTAAAAAATAATTTAATGTATGAAGAGAATGATGAAGCGAAGGAAAGTGACTATGCAATGACATTTAAGTTTAAATATTATTCATTCAACTCACCCATATTCTTCATCTTGATGCATATTCACATCATCTACCGAATTAACAATTGTTCTATTCGTTTCACAAAAAGTCTCAAAGCTCATGTCAGCATCATCTGCCATGGAAAGCTCAGCAACACAAACTTGCGTGTCATCCATGTTTCTGTTGACTGTCAATGAGATCTCAATGAATCTTATGCTGTCAAGAAGAACCGAAATCTTCTGACGATCAAAGTATTCGTTAAACAATAAGAGATCTCGTTTGATTTCAGTTTCGTATGGTAATTTAACTGGTAGAATATTCAAGAACTGTTCGGGAACAAATTCTTTGTTATGGAAAATTCTCAATCGTGTTGGTTCATCAGATGAAATCATACAAACTTCCCCAATAATCGGAACTTCAGTGTTGAGACTCATAATCTTTCGAATTTCTTCTTTCGTCGCTTTGAATTCAATGTTGACGACTTTCGTTTCACCAGGAGCCACACGAACTTCTGTTGGTGATGTGAAAAGTGATCTCGAAGCATTAAACCCGCTCCAGTTTCTCTTCGTTTCAAAGACAAACACAGCAAAGCCAGGAATAGTTCCAGTATTTGTCAATCTGATTTGTTGCACCATTTTAGACTTCAACATTCTCACATCGCCCATTGTGATGAATGATTTACCCTCTGGAGGCTTCTGAATGCCATCAATCTTCATTGCACAGTGACCACCGTAAGCATACAATGGAATTGACTTCATACATTTGCTGTTAGAAATCAATTCAAAAATTAATTGACCACGAGATGGACCAACATTTATCGGATGAAATTTCACTTCAAATGTTCGAGCTTCATTGGGAATCATTCGGAAATCATCACTTGGCGTCACACTAAATCCATTTCCTTGAACTTTCACACGCAATGACAATTTTTTGTTTGATCCATTTTGAATGCTGATTGAGTTTGATGAACTGTGGTTGAGTTTCACGCTGCTCCATGATAATTTTCGACTTGATTTCTGAATTTTTATTGGAAGGACGTCATCGTGAAATTCACTTCCATTGCTTAATTGTGATGACGTTCTTTTAAGTTCACCATGAGAAGAGAATGGAGATGAATTGCCACTTGTTCTCAAAGATCTTGCAGGTGAAGTGAAGACATTTTCAGGTTGAATGAGGCCATAATTTGGCAATGAAAGTTTCTCTCCTGATAAATGCAAGGACGGTGCCGTGACATACTCACGTGAAGAAGAAGTTTCGTCAAAAACTGGCTTTGATTTATTTCCTGTCTTGTTGAAACTGCTAATGTTTGATCTTATGCTGTTTAATGATTGCGGAACTTTGAAATGATCTTCATCTGGTTTTGGCTTCAACATTGTTGCTGCAGCCGCTTGAAGTTCATTTTGCATGGTTGGTGATTTAGATCGAAAGCATTTGTCAAGAGTGGTTTTTGGTGTTTCATTTGACACGGAGCTTGAACGTGATCGTCGCTTAAGACCACGATTTGTGATGGCATTTTCAGATCTTTGTAGATTATCGTCGGATATTGACGGCGCTTCCTTTACTGGAACAACATCGAGGTTGTCATTTTCTTTCTCTTTATCATCTTTATTTCGTGATTGACCAAACATTCCAGTGAAATCGACTCCATTGAGGATTCGGCTTAGATGACGAACTTTTGGATTGGCTTTTGCTTCTTCCTGGACGTCATTACTTAACTCGTTGATGCTCTTTCCAAAGTTCAGAACCATGTTCTTCATTTCCGGCGTGTCATAATTCTTAATATACTTCTGCAACTGAGACATGTCAAGTCTATTGGAGGGAGTGCTGGAAGATTCATCTTTTTCAATTTCTACGAGTGCCACTCGAGTTCTTCTCTTTGCTGGACTTTTATTGCCATAAACTTCACGAATATTATTTGAGCCAACAAATCGTTGAGCATATGAGCCGAAAGACATTTCCGGCTGACGGATTGAAGCGTTTTGTTCTCCTCGTAATTCCTCCCATTGAGATTCATTTGAATCTTCTTTCGGTGCTCGTGGAATTGACGCAAATTCTTTTTGTTGCTCCATGTCATCTTCTTGCATTTTCTCTTCCATTTCTTCAGCTGGCTTGAAGCTTTCGTCCTGTGCTGTTACGTTTTTTCCATCAAAGCTTTGCATTGAAACTTCAGCTTGGTCCCAAAAGTCCATTCCAGTGTTTCGAGTGTTTGAGCTTATGGATGTTCTCAAACTCATGTCAGCTGTACGTGGCATAAAACTCAGTCTTCCCATGCTTTGACGATATTTGTCTCTCACTACTGATGAAGCACTCGTCCTCATGATTTCATCAAAATCCATGTCCGTAAATGTTTCATTTAAAATCTGTTTACGATTAAGTGCTGTGGATCTTGCAGATATTTCTGATGGTTCAAATTTCTGGTTAGTTGGAGATTCGAAATATTGAGTCTTGTCTGTTTTCAAGTCGCTTAAGTTGAAACTTTTCGAACTTGGTGCTAAATGATTTGAATTTTTAAGCAATTCTTGAGCTTTCAGTCTTTCCTCCTAAAGTTTATTGAAATTTATAAAATTCATTCATGTACTTCAATAATAAAGGATAATATTCATGTTTATTTTATTTTACCTGCAGTCTTTTATTCATTTTGAATGGCTACGGTGAAATTAAGGAATGGTTTTAAGTCTAATTTACGTTTTAAAAATATATTTAAGTACTTCTGAGCGTTTTCCGTTTGTCTTTTAAAAATCAACAGAAATTCGTTTTGCGATTCGCATTCTTCTTTTGAAGAAATGCGAATCGCATATTTACCGCATGCCGATAAAAACGTAAACAAACAACAATGGCATTAAATTTCGACGTAAATATAGAAAGCGAGAGTGAAGAAGATCCATTCGAAGATGGAAATACAGTTAAAAATATTCAGGAGCATTTTCGTCATGAATTTACTCAGGTTCATCAGGAGGCAACAAGTTTGAAACGGAAATATATAACACATGCTGCAAACAGCAACGATTTCTCAAAAATTTCTATCGGAATAGGAAATGAGATGCAAGTTTATGACGTTACAGAAAGTGGTTTAAACAAGTATGTCGGAAAAAATGAATTTGGACAATTTGAACATCCAGTATCTGGTTTAAAGTTTTTCCATGATGATCCCAACATAGTTTTCGCATCAACATCAGCAGGTGAAATTCACATGTACGATCTTCGATCTTTCTCCAGAATTCATACGTTCGAAGGTAATTGATAACTTTTTTAAATCAATCGATTGTAAGTTTTGATTTATTTCAGATGATTCGGAGTTGATAGTGAAACCCGTAAACTGTTTTGATGTGAATGCGAATGATCGTCTTTTATGTGCTGGAAGTGATGAACTCAATCACAACGTATACTTAATGTTCTTTGATATTCGTGAAAGAAGATTCATGGGAGGATATTTTGAGTCACATCAAGAGGAAGTCACTGATGTAAAGTTTCATCCAACAGACCCCGACACACTTTGCAGTGGATCCACTGATGGACTTATAAACATCTTTGATTGTAAGAAGGAAAAAGAAGAAGATGCCTTGCAATTCAGTTTGAACACAGAAGATTCAATAGCAAAACTTCAGTGGCATTATCATGATAAGCTTTCTTGTATCACAAATACCAACGAGCTTCTTCTTTACGATGCAAACGAACATGATTTATTGAAGAAGTGGAACCGTTCATCAATTACCGAAGCCATCAAAAGGAAATCAGTTATTGATTGCAATCTTATCGATTGCTACAATTATGGAACTGACGAGATGTTATTATTAGCAACTTCAAACTATAACAAAGGAGAATGCATCAGAAGTGTGACGTTCAGTGAAAACACTCTCGATCCTGTTGGAAACTTTTCTGGAAATTCTCAAATAATCAGAGCGAGCTTATACAATGCTAAAGAAAATCTTTTCTTCACATTTGGTGAAGGTGCAATCATTTCTTTGTGGAAGGAAAGTGAAAGTGCTGCAACTAACATGAACGTCAGCCTCAAGGAAGATTCTTCAGTTAAAAAGAAACTCAAAAAGAAATCAAATCCTTATTAAATTTTCAAAGTTTTTATTAATGGATTTTGGAATAAAAATTAATTTCTTTTTAATATAAAACTGATGACTAATACTTCATTTTAAAACCAGACCCACAAATTTTATATTCTTCAATTGACTGTTCATCTGGAAAAGCGTTCCTTTGAAATAATCTCAATTTCTCAAGTAATCTGTTCTTTTCCTTCTTCTCATGCAACAATTGACGTTTCAATTCCAGTAAATCATTTTTCATTTCTTCAATGGCTGTTTCGTTAGCTTTGAGATCGTCGTTTCTGATTTTTGATATGACAATAGCTGCTTTTAATCTCTTGGTGTGAGTTGAGAGTTTATGCTTTAAATGAGAAAAGAAGGTAATTAACATTAAAAGATAATTGAAATAATTAAACTTTACTCTTGTCATCATTAATTCTTCTTTGACACTTGCTGATGGGAGTCTAGTTGAATATTCTTCCAGATAATGAACTTTCTCAGTGATGCTTTGAATTTTCTCATCTTTCTTCAACAAAACTGACGTTTGGCATAAAAGTCGTCTAAGAATTTTTAATAAAAACTTATAAGTTTAAAGATTTTTCAGTGAAAAAACATTTTACAAACTTTTGCAACGTTTGAACTTTGGAAATGAGTTGAGCTTTGTCTGGATCGATTCCACTCAATTTTCGCCAGCGATGAACATTCATTGGTGTTGTCATTTCGTTTTCTAGAGCTCTAGAACGAACTCTTTCTTGAACAAGAACACGATTCAATTGTAAGACTTCTTGCCGCATATCAGCGGTGTTTGCAATTCCTCGAGCTAGTAAATTTCTCTGTGATCTTAAATTTCTTACTTCGATTTTAAGGAATCTTATGTCCTCGAGTCGATCATTGTATTGACTATTACCTGGGGAAAGTTTTAAATAAAGTTTTTAATTTAAAATGATTAAAAGTTTTACTTCGATCAAGTGACATTTGCATCATGTTAATTTTTTGATTCAACAATTCAAGCTCATCGCATTTACGAGAAATTTGAGTTGTTATAACTTCCTTTTCACTTAACAATACATCAAGTTGCTTTCTCAATTTCTCGATACTTTCATCGCTCTCCTAGGAGAAAAATATTAAAAAACCTGCGATAACAATTAAACATTTAATTTAACTCACCCTTAAAGTTTTAATTAATTTTATATTCTCTTCGCGTAACTCGTTCAGCTCCGATTTTGTGTGTTGCAATGCGATAAGTGACGACTGAATTTCAACCTTCAATCCTTGCTTTTCCTTTTCAATTTTCTCGCCATGCTTCTGGGATTTCTTCAAATCTTCTTCTCTTACAGAAATCTGTTCTTTAAGTTTCTCAATTTGTGTTGCTGTTGACTAATTAAAAAATGAATTGAATTAATATTTCATGACTTTAAAATATTAAATGAAAATCATACTTTAATTCTATCTTTTAACTCTTCTTGATTCTCCTTCCCAACGTGCAATTCTTTCTCTAAATTTATTATTTCACTCTGTGCAACTTGAAGATCATGTTGAGTCTTCACGAGACGTGATTGGCTTTGAATAAGCTTTTCTTTGTATTCATTAATTTGAGCATTCTTTGTGTTCAATTCTTCATTACACGTGTCAAGTTTATCAGAAAGATTCTGAAGTTCGTCGTTGATGTTTTCTTTCTCCTTCGAAGCTTTATTGATGACATTGTTAAGTTTTTGTTCGATATTTGAACGTTGTTTGATTTCCGCTTCAAGTGTTTTTATTTGTTGATCGTAGAGTGACATTTGATGCTTCTGTTCACTGACATCATCTGCATAGATGAAGAAAATTTCTTAAAACGGAGCTTTTCAAAATAAAATTAAGATGAAACTCACTGTTACATTTCACAATTTCCTTTCGCGCTAAGTCACGTTCCCTGACCAAACTTTCAGCATGTTTTTTGACTTTTTCAATTGATTTCTTCGATTTTTCTCTTTCCTTCTCAAATGTTGCTATTGCGTTCCTTTAAAAGATATTCAAATTAAATTTAATAAAGAATTGAATCATTGAAAAGTTCTCACTTTAATTTTATAATCTCATTTTCCAATGAAAGCTTCGAAGCTTCAATTGTCATCACTTTCTTCATAAGAATTTCCCTTAATTTGATAATCTTTGCATTTTCAAGCCGAAACTTTGCATTTTCATCTTCCTTTAGTTTGAGAATGTTGTTCTTTGTGTTCAAATCATTTGTTAGTTTATCTTTGAGTTGTGTGACGTTATCCATATCAGCTGTCAATAATTTAATAAATATTTAGTTAATTTATTAAATAAACTTCAACTTTCTCACCTGTTAATCTGGTAAGTTTCATGGTATTCAAATGATTTTGTGTTGTCTGCTTATCTAAATTAGCTCGAAGTCCAAGCATTTGTAAATTCTGTTGAACTACAACGCGATGTTCACTTTCACTCAGTTGCTTAAATTTCTTAAGTTCTTCAGCAAGAAATTGATTTTCATCTACAGTTTCTTGTAATTTACTCGAGACTTGTTCATAAGCTCGCTTTCCTTTAAAAGCATCATTGGAAAGATCTTCAAGTTGTCGATACAAATCTTTAATCTTTTCTTCTTCCTCCGAATGTTTCTCTTCCATCTCTTCAACATATTTCGATTGTGTTTGCAACTTATTTTGAATCTCTTCAAGTTCATTAATCAAACGGTCGCGTTCACGAACTCCCTCTTTCTTCGATAAAAGTCCACCCCCGCTTAAGAATAAAACAAAATTAATGTTAGGGGGGATTTGAATCGATAAAAGAATTGAAATTTTACTCGTCATTGTTGTCAGCTCCAGAATATTTCTCGGCTTCCTTTTGCAACTTTTCCAGTTTCTCACGTAAAACGTTCATTGCTTCTTGTGCGATCTGTTCACGAAGTGACGATGCATCAGCATTACGCCATGCTTGATCTTCAGATTAAAATTCATTAAAATATTCAAATTTCTTATGATCAACTTAATCATTACCAATTTCCGACTTCATTTGTTGTATGATTTCTTGATCTTGTTTTGACATTTTGATGACATTTTGTACCTTTTGTTGTGATGATAAAACTTCACCTTTCATTTGTTCAATTTTATCTTTCTCATCAAAGATATTTTGTCGTAAGTTTTGACAGACGAGAAGAAGTTTTTGAACATCTTCAACTATAAGATATTGCTTAGAGTTCTGCAGATCACGGATGACTGCACTGATTTTTCCAGTGACCTCTTCAAACACTTCATCAGTAATGACTTTGGGTATGACTTCTTCTTCATATTGTTCACCAGTTGCAATGCTTTCTTCAGCACTTTCTTCCATATCCATTTTGCAGTCTGAAAGAATTTATTTTGACGTGTGCTACCTGCTCAAGTATTTGATTTCAACTGCGTTGTTAATGTAAACATTTCTGAGTATCTTACGTTATGTTTGCCGGTAATCGATAAAACATAATCAACATTGAAATGCAAACTTATGTACATTCCATAGTAACGACAAGTCTTCGCATGCTTTAAATCTCCCCTAAATTTTTATGCATTTCATTCATTACTCAATGAAGTCAATTTTTTTTAAAAGCAATGAATTAAAAAGAAAAGCGTTTGGGTGGTTGAACGTTTATTTTATGTAGTAAAAATTCATTCATTAAAATAAAAAATGTTAGTTATAAAAATTTTTTCTCATAATTTCTTGTTCCACTGGTTCCATTTCAATCCGAACAAAGGAAGGACACGTTCAGTTCCGTTTGGGTAAAAGAAAAGCAACCTCTGTAGACGAATAGGCTGATTTGATGTAACACTCGTGACTTCGGTCCGTGTTCCGAGCTCTGTTTTAGGTCCGTTGAAAACCGACCGGAACGTCCCGTTCACCTGATTCGGAATAAATTCTTGGTTACCGGAACGGTCCGTGTTTCGGTTCGGAACAAGTTTGTGGCCCGCTTCAGGTCCGCTTACCTGGTCCGGAAAAGGTAGAAAGGTGGGGACCGAAGCCCCGGTAAGGTTTCTCTGATTATTTAACGAAATTGTTTTTGGTTCATCTTCGCAACTGTAATACATTTTTATTCTCTTAATGTCGCCTTCACTTAAATGTTTTCGTTGTCCCATTCGACTAGGATTTATGCTGGGATCTTTTGCAACAATCGTTGGTTTTCCATTTGTTGAATATCCTTTCGAATTGTAATGCAAAATTGAATCAAAATCATAACCAAGACCAAAATCGACAACTTCATCTCGTTTTAAAAAGACTTTCAATTGTTTGTGGTTAGATTTATCGATATTCTCCCACATAATTTTGACATAATCATCCCGATTTGCACTTATTTGGGTGTGAACGAATCCCAACGTGTGCATAAGTTCATGCATAATCGTAGTAAGCTTAAAACAACCTGTTCCCACTTTTGACGGCTTCAATTTGACTAATTGTTCGGCATTAAGACGCCCAACGTATGATGAACAACCTCCAGTGTCACCAGTGAACGTGACATAGTCATGATGGTAAGTTCGTCTGACAAACTTCACACATGTGACATTCTCAATTTCTCGCATTGCTTTCTCGATTTGTTGTACATGTTCAGAAGCTGTTGGAGAGAATTTCAATGTTTGTCATTTGAATTAGAGAAAAATGAAAAATATTTTACTGTAAAATGTCATGTTGATCCAGTAAGGAACAGTTTTATTGGGCCATCGGAGGTAAGGATGCTTCTTTGCATTGAATCTCTTAACACGTGTTGGTGATTCCGACAAATCCTGAGGGATGAAATCTTCGATCATATCAACGTCACTGATCACTGATAAATTGAATAATTTTAGTAATAATCAAAACCTTTTTAGATAAATCGACTTACAATTTTCATCTCCCATTTCTTTAAAATTCACTGGAGCTAAATAAACTCCATAAATTACAAAAATCAAGACCAACATCATTTTCAACATTTTTCTAATTATTTAAGAGAACTTTTCACGAATTAAATCGTTTGAGCTTGAGCAATAAATTACAAATGACTGTAAATTCTTTCAGCAACATCTCATTTTATATAAATTTCAGTTTCTTGTCTGATAAAGAAAAATCTTGATGATTAAGAGGGCTGAGAATTGATTCATTCATTCATGACTAATATCGCTGCTCAATGTGGTTATTCATTATCCTTCGGATTCTTTGTGCATTGAAGACTGTTCTAATTGAATTTTATATTGCAAGAAGAAATTACAAATACTAATTGTTCAACGTGATCTTCCGTGTGCGACTTACGCTCGATTATTTAATAACTTACTTTCAATGAATGAATGAAAAGTCACATCAATGTTCTTGATAATTGCTATCATTGAAACAGAAGCAGCTAATTTGAATTTAACAAGTGATAAAAAAGCCATGCTTGTTGATATTTGAACGATGTTTTTATTACTCATCGTCATCATAAGAATGCAGGAAGTTCTTCCTTTCATCTTATAAACAATTTTGACAATTAATTCAAGTTATTTTATCTTTATTACAGTGAATTCAGATTATTAATGAATTGGAGTTTACTTCACGGTTATAAAAGGAAATAAAAGGAAATAATAAGGATAAATTCTTAGACAGAAATAGTCCCGAATCTTTGTTATTTTATGAGAAGAATTGAAGAATAATAGAAATTAAAACAAATTATAAAGATTAAATAGTCTTAAAATTGTAAAAGTTAAACATGTTTAATGTTTATACAGAAAATGTGAAGAAGTAGATATATTGAAGGTAAAATCACGGATGATGAAAAGTAGCTCGCTGATCTTTACTAACATGTATTCTTCTTTTTCTCTCTCTGTGGGATTGATCCTTGAGAGACGTTGGATACGTGTACCGAACTCGTACTAGAAATCGTTGATGTAGCGATTGTTACAGGTTTTGTTTGGCCTTGATGCTTAAGTCTGTTGTTATTCTCAACGCCTGTTTTTAATCCTTGACTAAAATTTGCAATCTTTTGCTGCGAATTATGTTCCACTTTCGCGATCGTTGATATTTCTGTCTCGTTTTGACAATTATTTGCATTGTCATTCAATTTGTTTTTTTCGATCTTAAGTTCACATTTTGTAATTTTTCCCTGCTGTCCTTTCATTTTACCTTCCAAATTGCCAATTATTCTGAAAGCGTTTTGCTTTTTTTGTTTAAGTTTTTTATTACTTTCCTGCAAAATTCTCAGTTTTTCTTTCAAATCCATTATCTGTTCACGTTGATTAGAGTTTTCCTCCTTTAATGAATTTACTCGTCTTTCAGAGCTTTTCATGTACATCATATGCATTTTATTCATCTCAATGTAATTGGTTAATTCCGTTTTCAAATCAGTGATCACCACCCTCATTGACTTTATTTGCTCTTCATTACATAGCATGTGATCCATATAACTCTTATTTATCTCAATATTCTCTCTTAACTCCGTTTTCAAATCAGCAATCACTTTTTTGTGCTGCTCAATATCTTTCTGAAATTCTCCTTTATTTTCATCAATATCAAAGAACAGTTGAATGAAATTTTGAGTATTTATTGCAGCGCGACATTTTGGACAACTCTTGCGAATTCTGAACCAATGTTTTATACAATTTCGATGAAAAACGTGTCCACATGGTGTCGACACAATATCCTCAGACTTCAAATGAGGCTCGCAACAAATTAAGCAAAATATGTTCATTCTTGTAATGGTTACAGAAGTTTATGAATCTACGAAATTTAATGAACTTTCTAGAATGAAAAGATTATCAATTATCACGTGAACGGTTTTAATATTTTTATTTTTTTATTAAGAATTTATTAAAAATTCATCTCCAACAATATCTTTTTCGATATTTTTCTTCCACAGAGTTTGCTCCATAAAACTTTTACTTTTCAACGTAATTCTTAAACTTCACTGACTAAAATCATTTTGACAATAATTCAGGTCTTCTTATCAGAGATAAGGAATCAAAATGTTAGTTTTCAATGTTTTCAGATAACTGCTTTGATAATGTTGATTGAAAGATATCAAAGAAACATCCATGGTTTTATCAAATTAATCAGTTATCTGTTAGATAACAAAATAATGATAAAGATTCTTGAACAATTCCCAGAATAGATAAACATAAAAAATGATGATTTTATATTATTAACTTAACCTGATTAAATAGAATTTATTTTCGGGCTTAATTATTAAGCAGATTTTTTATAAGTTCTGTAAATATAATCATTTCTCTTATTTCACTAGATTTCCTGAATAAATAATTTTGTTCTGTAAACTTAATGTGAGTAATATTTGCGTAATCCTCAGCATTAGATATTTGGTTCATCATCACAATCGTAAAACTTTCTAATTCTTAAAACATCGCCTCGACTTAGACTTTTTCGTTGTCCCATTCGATTAGGTTTTATGTTGGGATCTTTCACAACAATCGTTGGCTTTCCATTTGCTGAGAATGCCTTTGAATGATATTGCAGAATTGAATCAAAATCGTAACCAAGACCGAAATCGTCAACTTCATCAGACTTTAAAAAGACTTTGAAGTCGTTTTGTCTTGAAGGATCGATATTCTCCCATAAAATTTTGATATGATCATCCCGATTAGTCCCTATGTGTGTGTGGTAAAATCCCAACGTGTGCACAAGTTCATGCATAATCGAACCAAGTCGGAAGCAATTTGTTTCCACAGTTGTCGGCATTAATCTGATATATTGTTGACCTCCATTGCGCCCAACTTGTGACACGCAACGTTTAGTGTTACCAGTGAACGTGACATAGTCATGTTGATAAGTTCGACCAACAAACTTCAAACATGTGACATTCTCAATTTCTCGCATTGCCTTCTCGATTTGTTGTACATGTTCAGAAGCTGTTGGAGAGAATTTTAATGTTTGTCATTTGAATTAGAGAAAAATGAAAAATATTTTACTGTAAAATGTCATGTTGATCCAATAAGGAACAGTTTTATTGGGCCATCGGAGGTAAGGATGCTTCTTTGCGTTGAATCTCTTAACACGTGTTGGTGATTCCGACAAATCTTCTTTGATGGAATCTTCGATCACATCAACGTCACTGATCACTGATAAATTTAATAATTTTAATAATCAAAACCCTTTTAGATAAATCGACTTACAGTTTTCATCTCCCATTTCTTTAAAATTCACTGGAGCTAAATAAACTCCACAAAGTACAAAAATCAAGACCAAAATAGTTTTCAACATTTTTATATTTATTTAAGAGAACATTTCACGAATTAAATCGCATGAACAATAAATTACAACTGACTGTAAATACGTTCAGCAACATCTCATTTTATGTAACTTTCAGTTTGTTGCCTGATAAAAAAGATTAAAAGAGCTGAGAATTTATTCATTCAGTCATGACTAATATTTCTGATATCCCTCGGATTCTTTGTGTATTGAAGACTGTTCTATATTGAATTTTATATTGAAAGAAAAATTACAAATAAGTTTTAACTTGTTCTTCCGTGTGCGACTTACGCTCGATTATTTATTTATTTACTTTCAATGAATGAATGAAAAGTCACATCAATGTTCTTGATAATTGCTATCATTGAAACAGAAGCAGCTAATTTGAATTTAACAAAAAAGCCATGCTTGTTGATATTTGAACGATGTTTTTATTACTCATCGTCATCATAAGAATGCAGGAAGGTCGTCCTTTCATCTTATAAATAATTTTGATAATAAATTCGAATTATTTATGAATGAACCTTATTTAATGGCTTTAATGAATGAAGATAATTAGAACAAATTGAAAGATAGAAATAACCCTAAACTTTTGCTATTTCCAAAGAATATTAAAAAATAAAATTAATAAAAAACAGTAATAACAAAAAAGATAACAAACAAACAAAATTGAAATCTCTAAACATGATGATAACATTATAAAGAAAATGTGAGATTGGTACTTGAGAGACGTTGGATACGTGTACAAAACTCTTAAGTTCCAACTTTCATGACCGTTGTAATTTCTGTCTCGCTTTGACAATCATTTGCGTTGTCATTCAATTTGTTTTTTTCGATCTTTTGTTCACATTCTGTAATTTTTTCCTGCTTTTCATTCATTCTTCCTTCCAAATGGGCAATTATTCTGAAAGCGTTTTGCTGTTCTTGTTCAAGTTTTTTATTATTTTCATGCAAATTTCTCAGTTCTCCTTTCAACAATTCCATTATTTGTTCGCGTTGACAAGCGTTTTCCTCCTTCATTGAATTTATTCGTCTTTCAGAAATTTTCATTTGTGACATATGCATTTTATTCATTTCAATATGATTGGATAATTGTTTTTTCAAATCAGAATTCTCCAACTTCATTGACTGAATTTGCTCTTCATTACATAGGATCTGCTCACGTTGACAAGCGTTTTCCTCCTTCATTAAATCTATTCGTCCTTCATAGCTTTTCATGTGTACCATATGCATTTTATTTATCTCAATATGATTAGTTAATTGCTCTTTCAAGTCAGCAATCACTTTTTTGTGCTGCTCAATATCTTTCTGAAAATCTCTTTTAGTTTCATCAACATCAAAAAACAATTGAATGAAATTTTGAGTATTTATTGCAGCGCGACATTTTGGACAACTCTGTTGAGTTCTGAACCAATGCTCTATACAATTTCGATGAAAAACGTGTCCACATGGTCTGGACACAATATCCTCAGATTTTATATAAGGTTCGCAACAAATTAGGCAAAAAATGTTCATTCTTGTAATGATCACAAAGTTTATGAAGCTACGAAATTTATTGAACTTTCTAAAATGAAAAGATTTTCAATTTAACATAAACAATTTCTAATATTTTTATTACTTGTTAAGAATTCACTAAAAATTCATCTCCAACAATAATACCCTTTTTCAATAATTTTCTTCCACAGAGTTTGCTCCATAAAACTTTTACTTTTCAACACAAAACTTAAACTGACCAGAATCATTGTGACAATAATTCAGGTAACCTTCTTATCAGAAGTAAGAAATCATAATAGAGATATTGAAGAGAACTTTTTAATTCACGAATGTGGGATACAGCAATAGAACAAAAGAAAAGAGAAAAAAAATTAAAAGTTAGAAAGAATGAAATTCGAAAAGAGTCATCGAATCAGTCATTTAACAGAGTTTCGAGAGGACAGTTGAACTCGCGTATTTTATTTATTTATTTAAGTAATTTCAGCATTTTACTTGAAGTTCGATGTCAAGGATCCGACAATGAATTAAATCGCATGAACAATAAATTACAAATGACTGCGAATTCTTGCAGCAACATCTCATTTTATGTAACTTTCAGTTTGTTGCCTGATAAAGAAGATTAAAAGAGCTGAGAATATATTTATTCATTCATGAGTAATATTTCTGTTCATTATTCTTTGGATTCTTTGTGCATTGAAGGCTGTAACAATTCCATATTGCAAGAAGAAATTGCAAATAATTGTTTAACTTGATCTTCCGTGTACGACTTACGCTCGATTATTTAATAATTTATTTATTTTGAATGAATGAATGAAAAATCACATCAATATTCATAACAATTGTTATCAGAAACAGAAACAGCTAATTTGAATTAAATAATATAAAATGATAAAAAAAGAAATGAAAACACTTGTTTCATATTTGAACAATCTTTTTATTATTCATCGTCTAGGAAGTTCTTCCCTTCATTATGTAACAATTGTTGATTGCAAATTTAAAATTATTATTAAATGAAACTGCTGAATGGATTCAATCGTCCATCAAAACTTCATAATTGGAAAATGAATATTCTCGGCCTTGTGATGAGACATAAATGCATTGACGTGATTTATTTATGCGACCAACTAACATAGCATTGTTGAATAACACTCGACCGACATAAAAAAGCTCACCCTGCTTTGTGTAACCACCAACAAATGCATTTCCAGGCACATTCCCATTACTGTAAGGGACCCAACGACCATTTACGGATCCAACTAGAATTTCAAAATTTTTCTTCTCGATTTCAACACCATTGAAAGATACGCAAGCAACTTTTCTACTTGGAATCACTTTACAAGGCATCAAATGACCTTCATGCATACAACGTCCAACATATAAAATTGTGTAATTGCTTTCTCGACCACCCTGAATTGCATTGCTCGGCATTGATGATGCTGATGTCATTTGTTTCCATTCTACTGCAAATTAAATATTTGGATATTAGATTTTAATAATTCAGTTGAATAAATCTTACAATTTGGTGCATTGCTGGTCGGTGAAGCTACAATTGTCGTTGGAGTAGTGGTAGAGGTGCGGGGATAGCCTGTTTGTTCGATTATTCTCCTTCTCTGTAGCGTTGGAACACAGTTTCCTGGATTAAAGTTTCCTGCAAAACTGTTTTTGAGAAAAGGATTATAAAATGTTTGTTTTGTTTTTGATTCAAGTTATTTATAGTGGTTTCAGCGTATAGCCACTTTCCCACTTGTTACTAATAGTAACTATCTGTATATAATAATACTAAAGGGCCGAAGTATCTAAACTTCACTCTACCTCATATAACCAAGTCGGGGTTCGAACCCGGGAAGAAATGTTTGTTTGATTGTCTTCTTTTTGTAAGTCAAAAGTTCGAAACTTTCAATGGAATGTTCCTTCCCACCATAAGGGATAAACAGAAAATGTTTAGATGGTTGAAATTTCCCAACAGTCAATGAATTTGAATGTTTCGCTCGTCCTACGTAAATGTTTTCATTAGCAATTTTATCAGTTACAACAGCATCGGTAACAATCTGTCTATACGTCACCCACGAAAATTCTGAACTGTCTCCAGTCAAAATCTAGAAAAATTTAGAAATTATTAGAAACATTGAATATTATAAAAAAATTTTACTTCACCTCAAAATTTTCGACTAAAATTTCAAGGCCATTAAAAGGAATGTAACACGCACGTTTACTTGGAATCGCTTTTGCCGGAATTTTCATTCCACAATAAAGTGAACGTGCAACGTAAATGACTGAACCGTCAGAATCTCTTCCTCCAATTATTGCTTTATTTGGAGCTGGGCTGTTAATGTGGCATGATTCCCATTTGTAATCAGCTAAGAATTTAAAATTTTCAACTCTCATCTGTAATCTTGAAATTTATGTTTTTATTTACTTACTCATGTTGGACTTCAAGATTTTAATTATTTTCTTATTTATTTACAAAAGTTATAAATAGCACTAACATTACATTTAATGTTCATAAAACGACTGACAAGAATTATTTTTATTGGAAAGTTGATAAAATTAATCTTATCAATTCCCACGACGATAAATACTTATTCGAGTTCATGTGAATTATCCAGGGTTGAATCTTGACATTCTTTGCACTTTTAATAACATCGATTGATATAAATTATCTAAATTTACCTGAAAGATCTCAGAGACACATCCCTGGAATTATCAATAGAAATTATTTGTCGGTGCAATAAAACAATCTTCAATTACCCATTTTTGGAACAAGAAATTTTTTTATTTCACACCTAAAACAAGTGCAAAAAAATATTTTTTACAGTCTAAAAATTTGTGCAAATTAAATTAATAAAAAATTACATTGTTGGATGATAACTTCCGATGACTTGATCACCTCCACCGCTTTCTCCTTTCAATAACGAAATTTCCTCTCGAAGCTTGTCGTTCTTTTCAAGTAATTCTCGAACACTCAACTGATACTCGTGAAGTTCTGCTTGTTGCTTCTCTTTTTGAATGTCAAGTTTATCGCAAAGATTTCTTTGTGCTTCGAGATCGACGTGAACTTTTGCATTTGCACTGCGTAACATTTCAATTTCTGTTGACAAGTCGATGACTTGCTTCTCTAAAGTTTCCAAATCGTTTTCTTTTCCTTGAAGTTGATCAGTCAAAATTGTGATTTGATGTTGATATTCACTCATCTGACGTTTTGTTTCACTGGATTTTTGATCAAGACATTGGAATTTCTCCATCAATTTGATGTTGTCACATTCGAGATCTTTCGATTGAACAAGCGCTTGCTTTCTTTCGTTGTCTTTAATAGCGATGAGACCGTCGATTCTCTCAATTTCATGTATGTACGATTGAAGTTTTGTTCGAATATTTTCAGACTCTCGTTGACTGTCGCTAAGGCACTTTTTGGTGGCATTCAACGTTGCAGTTATACTTGTAAGTTCATCAGCCATTCGACTATTCTCATGAATTGCATTTGTCAAATGATGCTTCGTTGCTTCCAATTGTTTCTTCAGACAATTATTTTCAGATGTTGTGTCACAAACAATCGACTCATGTCGTTTTATCTCACAGTTCAATTCATCAATTTTCATTTTAAGTAAACGATTTGAGTCTCGCATTTGTAATGCTGATTCAGCTTTCACTTCAACACTGTGCAGCTTTTCATTCCTTTTATCCAACGTCATCATGTAGAATTCTTTTTCACGTTCCACAGTCGATTTGAGACTTTTGATTTTCCCAAGTTCTACTGAAAGTTTCTCAATTTGATCTTTAAGACATTCGTTTGATTTGTTGAGACTGTTAATTTGTGATTCTCGTTCATTCAACTCACATTTTGTGAATTCAAGTTGATTTTGAACGTTTATAAGAACACTTTCGGTTTGTTGGCTGAGCATCTTTGATTGATTGTGCGTGGATTTGAGTTTTGAGTAATCTTCATGAGCAGTTCGAAGTTTCATTTGCAAATCACAATTTTCTTCTCGTAATTTTTTGATTGTTTGAAAGGTTGGCGTTTTTGATGCTTGATAATCGTCAATCTCCATCTTTAACTTTGCTATTGTCTCTTCAAGTTGCATGATTCGTTTACTTTCATTGATTTTTCCATCACTCATAATGCGAATTTTATCATTTAAAGCTTCATTTTCAATATTCATTGATTGTAATTTATTTAAAGCGCAATCTTTCTCACATTCTAAACGACGAAGACTGTTGGTAACAGCAAGATTCGAATAAGATTGTTTTGGATTAAGATTCCCTCTTTCACATCGAAGTTCTTGAATCTCTTCCTGAAGTGCCATTATTTCTGTTTCTTTGTCTTTTAATCGACAATATAATTGAGGAATGTTGCAATCTTCTATCTTTCTGGGGTTCTTTTCACTAAATTCTGTGAGCATTCGCACTTTATTTTGTAGAATGTCGCGTTCTTTAATTAACTCTGCAACAATCTCACAATTTCTTGATGATTTTCTATTTTCATTTTCTTTCATTTTGTCTTTCAAATATTCAATTTCAAAAATCATCTTCTGCTCTTGTTTATCCTTTTCCCTCAAAGTTCTTTTCAACTCTTTAATTTCTTGAGATTTGTCATCTTTTGTGAGATTTTTGAGTTGATGCTTCAAATCGGTGATTTCACGTTTTAGATTTTTAATCTTGAGATTAGCTTCTCGTTCCACAAACAACGCAGCTTCATTGATCTCTTTAATATAAGCTTCCATCTGTGCAATCTTCGAGTTTTGCTTATTCCATTCATTTTCCAACTCTTGGTAATGTTCTTGACATTCTCTAAGCTTCTCTTTAAGTTCAATCTTATCACGTTGAAGAACGCTGACATCTTGTGTCACTTGTGAGACGCCTGAATAACAACAATCTTTGGCAAGTGCTGATGTTGGTCTCCCCCCAACGAGAAGACAATGTAAACGCTGAATTTCCCTTTCTTTCTCACCATCTTGCTTTCTAAGAATCGCCATTAAATCTTGAGTGTATTTTAAATCACTCCGAAGCTTTTCGATTTCCTTTTGAGTGACATTTTTCTTTGATGTTGCAGATAAACATTTACAGCCATCTTTAGCGTCAGTGATGAAGGCAGGATCAGGTAGAAAATTATTAGCTCGAACAGTCGAGATGAATGGTTTTTGTGGCTTCTTGGACTTAATTCTGTCAGACTGGCTGTATTGGTAAATTGTCTGTGTTAATGAGGCAATTCTTTGTTCAGCTTCCTTCTTATCTGCTTCGAGATTTCTTATTTTCCTTCGTAAATCTTAAATTATAAGAACAATTAAACAAATATTATTTGCTTTTACAAATAGATAACTTACCAGCATTCTCGACTTCTATGTTACGCTCCTTATTCAATAATTCGAGCTTAAGTCTATTTAATTCACTGAGTAATTTTGAATTGTCACATTTATAAACTTCATTTCCAAGCTCCCAAGCTTTTTTCTCTTCAAGTAATTTTGAAATTTGGTCTTTAGAGTCTTTTAAGGCTTCAGTTGTTATAATCAGGTCATCTAAGATAGCTGAGACAATTCCTATGGCCGAAATTGGAAGTGTTTGGTATTCGTATCCTAACAAATTAAGCTTCTGACGCAAATAATTAAACTTAACGTCTGAATCCATGTGCAATTAATTTTATTTTAATAACAGAAACACTTTAATCAACGTAAAATAATTAATAACATTGAGAATTTAACAGAAATCAATAAATGCGATTTTGTTTACATTTAATTTTCAACGACAAAAAATGTCTACAAAATATGCGATTCGCAAGCATTCCTTCATATCTTACGAATCGCATTTGTGTTCACTCAAATCGTTTTCAGTTAGCATAGAAAATTAAATAATGTTTAATAAAGAAGAATTAAGTAATGATAGGTTCCCTTCTGAAGCATCACACGTCATTGACTTGAAAGAAACAGTCAAAATATTAAATGAAACGATGTCACTTAAAAAGTAAATTAAAATTAAAGGAAAGCAATAGTTAACTAACGATTTTTTTTTTATCTACAGAAATTTTCCACATTTGAAGATAGCAACTCGTGATACTTTCAAAGAAGTTATAATTTCTGATATTTACAGAGAATCAGGTCATTCGATTCAACTTAAATATGAGAATTCTTCATGGACCGTTGTCGACCATCAACTTCCAATTCCAAACGCTTTTGAGGGAATTGCATCGTGTACCAATTTAATTGACAGTATCAGAAGATATATAATCTTCCTGGTACTAGAAAAAGGGAAAATATTTAGAGAACTACGTTAGCTGGTTCAGTCTATTATCGGAGAACCAAAAGTAATAACGATGAAGACAAATTGGCGACTTATCAAATACAGCAACAACATCTTCATCAGAATTGAGTTTACAAATCCTCTAAACATAGAAGAAGTGAAAGTAACTTTCCATGGACAAAGTGATGTTGTGAATGAGATGACAGAAACTTACAACTCAAGATGTGATGACTTTCAAGATTCGAATACTTTCATTTACGATAAATTATTAAATATTTTCGATATTCCTTTCTTCCCAGCAACTGAACAAGATGAAATTAATTGTTCAATTTGTTTATCATATCGTTGTGAAGAGAATCGAGTTCCTGTTGTTTGTTGTGATAACATGAAATGTGATTCTATGTATCATCAGTTGTCTTGAAAAGTATTCGAAAATTCAGAAACATGTGAAAGTTTTGAGTATTTATATCGGTGAATGTCCTTTTTGTAAAGAAACGTTATCGAATAGTTACGCACAATTCTTTCATAAATCTTCTGATGACAATTGAAAATAAAAAACAGAAATTATGAATAAGAAAAAAAATTTATTTAACAATTAAATTAAAAATCTGTGACATCTTCAATGCACCGATCCTTCCAAAACTGATGACGTTTGAACTTCTTCACTGGAACTTCTGCTTTGAAGAAAGAAGTCATCTTTTTGGAGCCTAGCACAACTTTTTCTTTTCCCGGTTGATCTTCTTCTTCAAACTCAACAGCAAAAGCTGATCCTTCCAAAGCATTCACTGCTGTACTCCAACTGAATCTGACAATTCGTGGAAAACCAAAGACGGGTTCATATTCTTGAAGAAATCTCTTTGTTACTGGATCACCAGGATATCCTGAACCAAAACCATCTTCAGGCACTTCAATTCCTTCACGAAATTTCCAAACTTTCAATGCATGATCTCGTGAGACTTTGGCACAAATTGAAGCAAGGGAAACGATTGGATAAGTCGAATCAGCTTTTTTGGCCACAGTGATTTTGATTTTGGGGAAAATAGCTTTAAGTTTCTCTTGATATTTATCTGGTGGGCCGACTGTGTCTACATAAATTTCAGCGACATTCACTTCAAGTTCAAGAGCTTTTTTAATCAAATCAATTGCCGATTCCATTGACACTTCATTTAAACTTCTTTTCGATCTTCTAAACATGCTTGTGCTGATATCATTTGGCGATATTATGTCAACCATCCATCCAACAGATTCAGTTGAAAATTCCTTTTGATTAGCATTAATAAAAATTTCTTCTCTTTGTTCTTCTGTCAGTTGTTTTGAGTCGGCACATCCTAATTCTTTGAGTAAAGATTGTTTAGAGATGGGACAAAATGCTATTCCATAAACCATCGGTCCAAGCACGGGTCCTCGTCCAGCTTCGTCAACACCTTCAACCAAACATAAAGTTATTGAAAAAATAAACAAATCATTAAAAAATTTTTACCTAAAATGCATTTTTCTGTTTTGCATATTTCCGGTATCGGTGAAATGTAAACATTTGACTTTGAGTTGTCCTTACTCTCAATAAATGATTTAAGAGAGTCGAGTGAATTAATATGGATTGAACTATTTTCATCACACATTTTAAAGATTTTTTATCTTATACCTATTTAATTATTTCGATATTTTACGCGCGAAATTGGAAACCACGANAGTGAGTGAGTGTGTGAGTGAGTGAGTGAGTGAGTGAGTGAGTGAGTGAGTGAGTGAGTGAGTGAGTGAGTGAGTGAGTGAGTGAGTTGATATTTTGCACGATGAAAGGTGATTCTTTCAATTCCGCTTCTTTCAAGACATAAATCAACTCTCTAGCTGCTACCGTTTAGAAGTTATTCAAGGTCAAAGTTGAAGTTTTTTTTTTACGGCTTTCTAAAGTTTTTCGCCTATATCTTTTTTTCTCTTTCATAAACTTGTTTTGATGTCTATAGAAGAATTGAAGCCACTGCCGAGACCTTTTTATCAATACCAATTTCATCTTTGTAGAAAATACCATTTAGCCGGAATCGCTAATTGAAAATCCGTAATTTTTGCGTATTTTTGTGCACCAGCGTTTAATGGAGGTCACTTAAATTATTTATTTAAGGCACTTACAATTGATAAAAAAATTTGATATTTTGCACGATGAAAGGTGATTAAATTCCGCTTCTTTCAAGACAAAATCAACTCTATAGCTGCTACCGTTTAGAAGTTATTCAAGGTCAAAGTTGAAGTTTTTTTTTTACGGCTTTCTGAAGTTTTTCGCCTATATCTTTTTTTCTCTTTCATCTCTGATTTGAGTATATATTGTAACAATTAATTTAAAAATCTGTGACATCTTCAATGCATCGATCCTTCCAAAACTGATGTCATTTGAATTTCTTCACTGGAACTTCCGCTTTGAAGAAAGAAGTCATCTTTTTGGAGCCTAGCCTAACTTTTTCTTTTCCCGGTTGATCTTCTTCTTCAAATTCAACAGCAAAAGCTGATCCTTCCAAAGCATTCACTGCGGTACTCGCACTGAATCTGACAATTCGTGGAAAACCAAAGACGGGTTCATATTCCTGAAGAAATCTCTTTGTTACTGGATCACCAGGATATCCTGAACCAAAACCATCTTCAGGCACTTCAATTCCCTCACGAAATTTCCAAACTTTCAATGCATGATNAATAGTTACGCACAATTCTTTCATAAATCTTCTGATGACAATTGAAAATAAAAAACAGAAATTATGAATAAGAAAAAAAATTTATTTAACAATTAAATTAAAAATCTGTGACATCTTCAATGCACCGATCCTTCCAAAACTGATGACGTTTGAACTTCTTCACTGGAACTTCTGCTTTGAAGAAAGAAGTCATCTTTTTGGAGCCTAGCACAACTTTTTCTTTTCCCGGTTGATCTTCTTCTTCAAACTCAACAGCAAAAGCTGATCCTTCCAAAGCATTCACTGCTGTACTCCAACTGAATCTGACAATTCGTGGAAAACCAAAGACGGGTTCATATTCCTGAAGAAATCTCTTTGTTACTGGATCACCAGGATATCCTGAACCAACACCATCTTCAGGCACTTCAATTCCCTCACGAAATTTCCAAACTTTCAATGCATGATCTCGTGAGACTTTGGCACAAATTGAAGCAAGGGAAACGATTGGATAAGTCGAATCAGCTTTTTTGGTTACAGTGATTTTGATTTTGGGGAAAATGGCTTTAAGTTTCTCTTGATATTTATCTGGTGGGCCAACTGTATCTACATAAATTTCAACGACATTCACTTCAAATTCAAGAGCTCTTTTAATCAAATCAATTGCCGATTCCATTGACACTTCATTTAAACTTCTTTTCGATCTTCTAAACATGCTTGTGCTGATATCATTTGGCGATATTATGTCAACCATCCATCCAACAGATTCAGTTGAGAATTCCTTTTGATTAGCATTAATAAAAATTTCATCTCTTTGTTCTTCTGTCAGTTGTTTTGGGTCGGCACATCCTAATTCTTTAAGTAAAGAATGTTTAGAGATGGGACCTTCGTTCAAAAATAAAGTTTTTTAAAAAGTAAACAAATCTTTAAACAATAAGCAAATTTTACATCATTCAATTAATGGGCGAACGTGGCAGTGGAACACGAAAAGTTCTTCAATCAGTTGCTGACAGTCTTGGAATTCATTTACATTTTGCAGAATGTTGTGATATTGTCACGTCAATTCCAACACAAACTGAACAGAAAATTCTTTACACTTTGCATCGTGCGACAAATTGTCAACCGGTGATTCTTTGTTTCAATGATTTTGAGTTTTTGGGGAAAAATAATGAAGGACATGAAGATGTTCGTGTCATTAACTTCTTCAGAGTTGAATTGGAGAAATTGTTCACGAAACATAACTTTGACAATCCTATCATCATTGTTGCGTTAGTCACCAGCAATCAACCTTTGAAGTCGAAGAAAATTAGCGGACTCTTCTTAGAAACGATCGCAATTCATCCAATGGAGAAAGAAGAACGTTTTCGATCACTTCTTTGGTATCATCAGCGTGAGTATTTCGATCGTTTATGTTATGCGATAAAGATTGGAAAGATTGAAAACTACATCAACATTAACATCTTCAAATATGTTGATCAGAAAGATTTGCAAATATTGCGTAGCATTGCTGAACAAACGCAAGGTTTTATTCTTGGTGATTTACGTGTTTTATATCAAAAATCAATCGACGACTTCTCTGATGATCCAAGAAACTTCCAGTTAAACGAAGATACATTTAAGAAGCAACTTGCTGAAATAAAGAAATGCTTTAGTGATAGTATTGGAACGCCTGAGATCCCTCGAGTCAAATGGGACGATATTGGAGGCTTAGCAAATTTAAAAACCGAAATTCAGAACAGCATTGGATTGCCACTTCGCTATTCTCATTTGATTATGAGAAAGAATTTAAAGCGATCAGGAATTCTGCTTTTTGGACCGCCAGGAACTGGAAAGACGCTCATCGCTAAAGCAGTTGCAACTGAATGTAATTTAAGTTTCTTGTCAGTGCAAGGCCCTGAATTACTCAACATGTATGTTGGTCAATCAGAACAGAATGTGAGAGAAGTGTTTGCAAAAGCAAGAGCGTCTGCACCTTGTGTCGTGTTTCTTGATGAACTCGACTCATTAGCTCCAAATCGTGGTGTTGCTGGCGATTCTGGTGGAGTTATGGATCGTNAATCGAGTTCCTGTTGTTTGTTGTGATAATATGAAATGTGACTCTATGTATCATATCAGTTGTCTTGAAAAGTATTTAAAAATTCAGAAACATGTGAAAGTTTTGAGTATTTATATCGGTGAATGTCCTTTTTGTAAAGAAACGTTATCGAATAGTTACGCACAATTCTTTCATAAATCTTCTGATGACAATTGAAAATAAAAAACAGAAATTATGAATAAGAAAAAAAATTTATTTAACAATTAAATTAAAAATCTGTGACATCTTCAATGCACCGATCCTTCCAAAACTGATGACGTTTGAACTTCTTCACTGGAACTTCTGCTTTGAAGAAAGAAGTCATCTTTTTGGAGCCTAGCACAACTTTTTCTTTTCCCGGTTGATCTTCTTCTTCAAACTCAACAGCAAAAGCTGATCCTTCCAAAGCATTCACTGCTGTACTCCAACTGAATCTGACAATTCGTGGAAAACCAAAGACGGGTTCATATTCTTGAAGAAATCTCTTTGTTACTGGATCACCAGGATATCCTGAACCAAAACCATCTTCAGGCACTTCAATTCCTTCACGAAATTTCCAAACTTTCAATGCATGATCTCGTGAGACTTTGGCACAAATTGAAGCAAGGGAAACGATTGGATAAGTCGAATCAGCTTTTTTGGCCACAGTGATTTTGATTTTGGGGAAAATAGCTTTAAGTTTCTCTTGATATTTATCTGGTGGGCCGACTGTGTCTACATAAATTTCAGCGACATTCACTTCAAGTTCAAGAGCTTTTTTAATCAAATCAATTGCCGATTCCATTGACACTTCATTTAAACTTCTTTTCGATCTTCTAAACATGCTTGTGCTGATATCATTTGGCGATATTATGTCAACCATCCATCCAACAGATTCAGTTGAAAATTCCTTTTGATTAGCATTAATAAAAATTTCTTCTCTTTGTTCTTCTGTCAGTTGTTTTGAGTCGGCACATCCTAATTCTTTGAGTAAAGATTGTTTAGAGATGGGACAAAATGCTATTCCATAAACCATCGGTCCAAGCACGGGTCCTCGTCCAGCTTCGTCAACACCTTCAACCAAACATAAAGTTATTGAAAAAATAAACAAATCATTAAAAAAATTTTACCTAAAATGCATTTTTCTGTTTTGCATATTTCCGGTATCGGTGAAATGTAAACATTTGACTTTGAGTTGTCCTTACTCTCAATAAATGATTTAAGAGAGTCGAGTGAATTAATATGGATTGAACTATTTTCATCACACATTTTAGAGATTTTTTATCTTATATTTAATTATTTCGATATTTTACGCGCGAAATTGGAAACCACGATTGAAGCGAATCGCAAATAGAAAAGTCTCCAAATTTATGTCTACAATTTCTCTCCATTCGATCCGAATATTTATTTTATTTAAAAACATTATTATCTTGTTTAAAATTTATTTTTAAACATGGCTGATTTAGATAAATGGATTGAAATCGCTAAAGAGTGCAAATATTTACCCGAAAATGACTTGAAGGAACTTTGCGACATTGTTTGTGATCTTTTGGTAAGTAAAATTTCGCTTTAAATTCTTTTTCATAACAATGACTAATTTGGTTTCATTTTGCAGGTTGAAGAAAGTAATGTTCATCCTATTCCATTACCAGTTACAGTTTGTGGTGATATTCATGGACAGTTCTATGATCTTGAAGAGTTATTCCGATGTGGTGGTCAAGTTCCAGACACAAATTACATCTTCATGGGAGATTTTGTAGATCGTGGATATTATTCACTTGAGACACTTACGAGATTACTTACACTCAAAGCTCGATATCCTGATAAGATCACTTTGCTTCGTGGTAATCATGAATCACGACAAATCACAAAGGTTTATGGATTTTATGATGAATGTTTAACCAAATATGGCAATATTAATGCATGGAAATATTGCTGTCGTGTGTTTGATCTCCTTACAATTGCTGCAATAATTGATGAATCAATTCTGTGTGTGCATGGTGGATTAAGTCCAGAAATTAAAACTTTAGATCAAATTCGAACAATCGATCGACGAATCGAAATTCCACACAAAGGAGCATTTTGTGACTTAGTTTGGTCTGATCCTGAAGATATGGATACGTGGGCTGAAAGTCCACGGGGTGCTGGATGGTTGTTTGGATCTCTTGTAACTCAAGATTTTATGGAGCGCAACAAGTTGGAACTTATTTGTCGTGCTCATCAATTGGTGCATGAAGGTATTAAGTACATGTTTAATGAGACGCTAGTAACAGTTTGGTCAGCTCCAAACTATTGTTATCGATGCGGAAATGTTGCTTCGATTCTTTCATTTGACTCAAACAAACAGCGAACTACAAAAATATTCAATGCCGTTCCAGATAGTCAACGTGTTGTACCACCTCAAAGAATCACTCCATATTTTTTGTAGTGACTTATTTATAATTTTAAACATTTCTTTATTGCTATTTACTGATATAATGTACTGAGAAAAAAATAAACAATTGACATAAATAAAATGAAAATCCAACTGAATTTTAAGATTTGAATTTTGCGATTCGCAATGATTGTTTACATTTTATTAAAATTTTAGGCATGAAATTAAGAACATAAATTTATAATATTATTTTAAAGGTTCTCAATACTTAACACTCTTATAAAAGGTGATAAATCTGTTTTCAAAGTCGTCTGTTATCATTTATATACAAATGTAATCTGAATTAATGTTGTTGAAAATTTGAATTAAAATGTTTTCTTTCATATTTTCAGAATACTTTTTTGACGATTTATAAATAGCCAAGAAAATGACACAACAAAGTGCATATTTGAAAACACTGCTTTATGTGTGCAAATTGCGTTACCCAAGGTTTCCATCACATTACTTTCCTGTGTATTTAATTGCAAAGTTTGTGCAGGAATTTCAATTTAGATTTCACATTCGACAATTGAACTTCCAACTCAGATCGATTCCAAATCGATACTTTGACTTTTTGTGTCGTAATCATGAGATTCAGTCTGATCATACTATTTTCATCAATCAAAAAGTATTCGACTACTACATTTATCAAAAGGATGTCAATTTTCTTAATCTTACTGTGAGTGATGCCACCAAAAAATCTAAAAAACTTTCTGCTGCTGAAAAGGTTGTGAAGAAGATTTTAGATTCACCAGAAAATTCAAGTAAAAGTAATAAAGTCCTGGCAGTCTATCAAGTTTTTCCACTCGATGGAATTCCAATCAATAAAATTTTTATAAAAGAAAATTCATTTTGGAATTTCATGGACAGGTATAAGTTGAGTTCTGATCATGAACAAGTTTACGTCAACATGTCGATGTTGGCAGCAACGCAGAAATTGCCAACGATCTCAACAAAAGCCAACATTTTTCTCGTTAATTCGCCTTACGATGTTTCAAGCACATTCGTTGACGATGTTCTGAGTGAATATTTCAAGAAACCACGATTGCTTTATCGAAACCACACATATCGTTTAGACTTGACAGAAGATGAACTCGGAAATTTTATATTTTGCGAGAATTTTGAATTAATTACAAAACTTAAGAGAATTTACTTCAAATGTGTTCATCTTGAATCGAGAGGAAGTTCATTTGATCTCGCTGGGATTGTCGTTCGAAATCTAACAAGTTTACATCAGATGACGACAATTAACTACCAAGTACCAAAAGTAACATTTGGAGATCATTTCATCACAAATTATCCATCAGGATTGAACAACGTTTATGAAAGTTTGAAGTCTTCACTTATGCCTTTTGTGGCATCATCAGAAGCATCAAAATCGATGCTTAAAGCACGAAAAATTTTCCCCATCATTCAATTAATGGGTGAACGTGGCAGTGGGAAACGAAAAGTTCTTCAATCAGTTGCTGACAGTCTTGGAATTCATTTACACTTTGCAGAATGTTGTGATATTGTCACGTCAATTCCAACACAAACTGAACAGAAAATTCTTTACACTTTGCATCGTGCGACAAATTGTCAACCGGTCATTCTTTGTTTCAATGATTTTGAGTTTTTCGGGAAAAATAATGAAGGACATGAAGATGATCGTGTCATTAACTTCTTCAGAGTTGAATTGGAGAAGTTATTCACGAAACATAACTTTGACAATCCCATCATCATTGTTGCGTTAGTGAACAGCAATCAGCCTTTGAAGTCGAAGAAAATTAGCGGACTTTTCTTAGAAACGATCGCAATTCATCCAATGGAGAAAGAAGAACGTTTTCGATCACTTCTTTGGTATCATCAGCGTGAGTATTTCGATCGTTTATGTTATGCGATAAAGATTGGAAAGATTGAAAACTACATCAACATTAACATCTTCAAATATGTTGATCAGAAAGATTTGCAAATATTGCGTAGCATTGCTGAACAAACGCAAGGTTTTATTCTTGGTGATTTACGTGTTTTATATCAAAAATCAATCGACGACTTCTCTGATGATCCAAGAAACTTCCAGTTAAACGAAGATACATTTAAGAAGCAACTTGCTGAAATAAAGAAATGCTTTAGTGATAGTATTGGAACGCCTGAGATTCCTCGAGTCAAATGGGATGATATTGGAGGCTTAGCAAATTTAAAAACCGAAATTCAGAACAGCATTGGATTGCCACTTCGCTATTCTCATTTGATTATGAGAAAGAATTTAAAGCGATCAGGAATTCTGCTTTTTGGACCGCCAGGAACTGGAAAGACGCTCATCGCTAAAGCAGTTGCAACTGAATGTAATTTAAGTTTCTTGTCAGTGCAAGGTCCTGAATTACTCAACATGTATGTTGGTCAATCAGAACAGAATGTGAGAGAAGTGTTTGCAAAAGCAAGAGCATCTGCACCTTGTGTCGTGTTTCTTGATGAACTCGACTCATTAGCTCCAAATCGTGGTGTTGCTGGCGATTCTGGTGGAGTTATGGATCGTGTCGTGTCCCAATTGCTATCAGAAATGGACGGAGTTGATGCTGATCCAAAGAAACCAGTTTTCATTCTTGCTGCAACAAATCGACCTGACTTAATTGACAAACAACTTCTTCGACCGGGGAGATTCGATAAAATGCTTTATGTTGGTCCATGCATTACAATCGATGACAAAGAACTTGTCGTCAAAGCATTAACGAAAAAGTTTCAACTAAAAAAAGATTTAACAACAAAGAAAATCGCTGAACTTATTCAACCTGATGTAACTGGTGCTGATCTTTATTCAATTTGTTCAAATGCTTGGTTGAGTGCTGTAAGAAAGCAAGTTAAGAAATATGAAGATGAAAAATGCAACGACGACGACATGATTGCTGATAAGATTCATGTTGGATTGGAAGATTTTAAGAAATCTTTAACACAATTTGTTTCATCGTTGAATCAAGTTGACATGGAATATTTTCACAAACTTCAAAGTAGCTTTGGTTGAACTTAAGAATTTTATTGTTATTTGAATTGTGTGGGTGGATTGACTGTTTGTGTGTATGAAAAAGAAATAAAATTTTATTTATTTGAACTTCAAACTTTTCTTATGAATTAGAAATTACAAGAAATCATCAGAGATTAGAGGTCTCAATGAGCTTTACTCTAATCTCATCATAAATTGCAAATTTCAATTCAAAAGAAAGCTTTTAATTGATGGCTTTGGTGATGATTGGAACGAGAGATTCACTGGTTGGAAACTTTTCTTTTCTTGGTGGTCCACGGTTAAGACCGCTCCAAATTTCTATTTTCTTATCTGATCCAGCTTTTATGATATGAATTTCGAATGAACCTAAAGAGATGAAAACATGTTATGTTAATTTGAAATTTTAATAATGTAAATCGTTAACATTTTTACCTCTTTTTGGTTTGCCTTCTGAATTCAGTTCCAACTCAAAGTTATGATCAGGTATTAAAACAGTCAACTCAGCAAAAATCTCATTAGCTCTGCGTTTAAACATTGATCATGATGTACAATGATCAATGCAGATACGATGAGATGTTTTAGTTTCTGTTTTTGAGTTTTTTGGTGAAGTTTTTGGCTTTTTTTCAGACTGTGAAGCGAAACATTAGATGATTTGTAATAAATTATATGTAATTTGTACTTACAGATCCTTCTCCTGAATTCTGAGCCTCAACTACAGCTCTTTTACCTCGCTTAGCAGGCATTTTTGACAACAAAAGTTTTGAAGTTTTTTTTGCGTTTACTTACGAGTAAAATTTAAGGCGCGAAATTCAGGGGTTTGTTCAGAAATATTGACTGCTGATAAAACAAACTTTTTTGAACAGGACTTAAAATAAAATATAGACTTCTGAACTATTGCGATTCGCATTCGATACAAAAACAAAAAATCGTGGTTCAAGCTAATTTCAATAAAAAAATAATAACATTTCAAATTATTAAGTAATTAAAAAAATAAGAGATGGGAAAATCAAAGAAAGGAAAGAAAGATGTTGATGTCAACGAAGCTAGGTAAATAATCAATAACTTTCCTTTACATTTTATAGAAAAATCGAAAAAATGTGTCGTGGATTAAAAATTTTTATGAAATTCCTTCTTCTTCGTTCTACTTTCTCTTGTTATGATATTTAAATTTTATATTTTAGTGATGGTGAAATTGAACAGCAACCACCTAAGGATTTGTCTGAAGAAGAGGAACAAGAGACATCTAAGAAAGCTGGAAAGAAATCGAAGAAAAACAAAACCAAAACAAAGGTTGAAGAATCTGAAAGTGAAACAGATGAAACTCAATTAAAGTCAACAGTGTTGAAACCTAAAAAGGAATCGAAAAAAAAATCAAAGGCAGAAGATTCTGATGATGGGGAATTGCTTCCATCTCAGCCAATTTCGGCTTTTGCGTTACTCCAAGGCGATGACTCTGATGATGATGTTGGCGTGGCAGTTAAAGACGATATCGAAGATGAACCAGCTAAGAAACCTTCAAAACAAAAGAAAAAATCTAAGAAAAAGGATCATGATGACGATGACGACGCACCAACAGCAACTAGTGGGAAAAAAGAAAAGAAAAAGAAGAAGAAACGTGGCGATTCTGACGAAGACGATTTAGATAAAATGTTAGCTGAATTACAATTGGAGTATGAAGGAGTTAAAAAGCCAGAAGAAGTGAAAAAAGATAATAAGATAAAAGAAACAGAACAGACTATTGTTACTAATGAAAAAGCTGAAGTTGAGCAGGAAAAAACAACATCGAAGAAAAAGGATAAAAAGAAAAAGAAAACTGTTGCCGATGAAAAAGATGAAAGTAAATTACCGGAAACAACAGAAACAACTGCAATACCAGAAGTGACTGAATCAACTCCACCAGCTACAGAGGAAACAGGTGCTGGAGCTGGACCTAAGAAAAAGAAAGGTCCTGGAAAAGCTATGGTAGCAGCAATGCAAGAAGCTCTCAAGAAAAAGAAGGAGGAAGAAGAACGTCTTGAAAGAGAAGAGGAAGAGCGCATAAGATTACTGGAAGAAGCTGAAAAGATGCGTGAAGAAGCTAAACGCTTGGAAACGGAGAAGAAGGAAAGAAAGAAACAAAAGGAAAAAGAGAAAAAAGAAAGACTTAAGGCTGAAGGAAAATTGTTGACTGCAAAACAAAAGGCTGACAAAGCACGAGCTGAGGCTATGATTGAAAGTCTCAAAGCTCAAGGTGCTGCTGTTCCTGGTGCAGGAGAAAGGAGAGTTCGTCCTGGCACAAGAGTTCGTCCATCAAAACAAAAGAAGGAAGAAGGTTCATCATCCAAGGAAGTAAAACCAGAACAGGAAGAAGAAGTGAAAGTTGTTGAAGAACCAGCAGTTGAAAAAGAAGTCATTGTTGAAGAACCTCCGAAAGAAGAAGTGAAACCTGAACCAGTCGAAGAAATAAAAGATGCTTGGGATGTGAGTTCAGATGAAGAAGGAGATGAAGATGAAACACCACCAGATTCTGAAGTTAGAGTTCCTGAACCTGTTGCTAAAAATCAAGAGAAACAAGTTCGAACAAAGAAACAAGAATCTGTTGAAGAAGAAAGTGAAAGTGACGAAAGTGAATCTTCCGATGAATCTTCAGGTGAAAGTGATGACGAATCATCGTCAGAAGAATCTGATCATCGAACAGACGCTGAAAAAATTCGTGAACGTGCTGAGGAACGAATAAGAAAACGAGAAGCTGAAGCAGAGACAAAGCGAACGCTTGATCAACTTCGTGCTGCTGTTGTTTGTGTTCTTGGTCATGTCGACACAGGAAAGACGAAAATTCTTGATAAACTTCGACGAACAAATGTTCAAGACGGAGAAGCTGGTGGAATTACACAACAAATTGGTGCCACTAATGTTCCAATCGAAGCTATCAAAGAGAACACAAGGCATTTAAGAAACATAAATGACGTTGTTTTCAAACTTCCAGGACTTCTAATCATTGACACACCCGGTCACGAATCCTTCAGTAATCTTCGTTCACGCGGTTCTTCTCTTTGTGACATCGCAATTCTTGTTGTCGATATTATGCATGGTTTAGAACCACAAACGATTGAGTCACTTAATTTATTGAAGACAAGAAAAACTCCATTTGTTGTTGCGCTCAATAAAATTGATCGATTATATGATTGGAACACAATGCCTCGTAAAGATATTCGTGACATTATCAAAGCTCAAGCAATGAACACACAACAAGAATTCGATAAACGTGTAAAGGAAGTAATTGTACAGTTTGCTGAACAAGGAATGAATGCAGCTTTGTTTTACGACAATCCAGATCCTAGAAGTTACATCAGCATGGTGCCAACATCAGCTATATCCGGAGAAGGAATGGGAAATCTTCTCATGCTTATCGTTCAATTCTCGCAAAATCAACTCGCCAAACGTTTGATGTTTTCTGAAACATTGCAAGCAACAGTTTTAGAAGTTAAAGCTATTCCTGGTTTAGGAACAACAATTGATACAATCTTAATAAATGGAAAAATGAGGGAAGGTGACACAATGATTTTAGCTGGAACTGAAGGTCCAATAGTGACTCAAATTAAAGCGTTGCTTATGCCACAACCTATGAAAGAGCTTAGAGTAAAAAATGCATACATTGAACATAAAGAAGTTATTGCTGCACAAGGTGTGAAAATTGCTGCTAAAGAACTTGAAAAGGCAATTGCTGGAATTAATATGCAAATAGCACAAAAGGCAGATGAAATTGAAATTTACAAGTGAGAAATTTAACACTTTTTTCTGATTATTTAATCATTTGTTACTTAATTAGGGACATTGTTGCACGAGACTTAAAATCCGTTTTACGAAGCATCAAACTTAGCGACCAAGGAGTCTTCGTTCAAGCATCAACACTCGGCTCTCTGGAAGCATTGTTAGAATTCTTAAAGACATCAAAAATTCCGGTGAGTTTTTTTAACGATCTTTTTTTATTTAAATTTGAAATGAGACATAAAATTCCGTTAAATATTTGTGTGTTGTTATCATTGATGGAAACAAAGTTTCGGATTGAAAAGAAAAAGTTTTCTTAATTGTATAAACATTAATTTTTTATCAATGACGCTTGTTGATTGCTAATATTTAGCCTTATATTTCTCAAGAGAAGCGTACTTTTTCCTCGAATTGCTGCCAATTGCGTATTTAAAAGAAGGTGTGTCTGGTTTCCGTCTCGTCACAGGTTTGATGATGTTTATTTTATTATTTTTCTGCACGAATCAGAATTAGCACGGTTTTGCGTCAGTGCACAGTCAAGGTTGAATGTTTGGAAAGATGTTTAGGAACTTCATGCTGGTTTAAATGCCATTTTCTTCTCGATAATTTTTCGATTGCCAATAACTCATCTAAAATTTTAAACAAGCGCCTCAATCACTGTAGTGGAAAAATATTTTCTCGACAGCTCCGTCTCATGACAGAAATCTTCATGTGTCGCATGCTAATTGAAATTGAATCTCATCCTGTCAATCACAATTCGCGAATGAATGAACGACAAAAAAAATGATTTTATTTTTTTCTTTATTGTCATTTAGATTGTTCAGTTGTCTGTGCAACATTGTTGCTCTTTTATTTGCTTTCAGTCATAAATTAAATGTCAGCACAGTGCACGTTTCACGTTCATATAAAACGAGATGAAAATATTTAATCTCATAATCCATAAACGAAGGAAAAAAAGCAGAAATATTTAATAAACAACTCTCGTCAAGAACTGTCGGCAGTTCTCAATTGTGGCTCAATCCACTGTTAAAAATTTTAAGTAATTAGAATGTCAACAAAATCATTTAACACCGTAGTATGACGACAGAAATTAAGCACGAACATTTACTTTGCAGAAAATAATTATTAAGTTAATGAATGAATAAGAGGTGGGGAGAAAATTAAAAATGATTAAAAACTTTCTGCCCAGGTACAAGGTGTGTGTGAGTGCGGAAATGAAAGTTTTGTTGGCAGCTAATCAATAGCGATAACCAATTTAATTATTTGATTTGAATTCATTTTATAAATGCTTAAATTGATAAGTGTTGTCAACATGGTCAAGTACAGATAAGCCATTGCGTTTCTATAGAAAAAAGATTAAAAAAAGGGTGTGAGGTAGACAAACAACAGGAAAGAGAGATAAACGAGACGATTTATAAATAGGAAAGCAATTTTTTGGACTTTGAGATCGATGCGGTCGGTTGCTTTAAGTCTTCTCTCCTCAATCCACCCACGCGAACCTTGAAAAACAGAAATTCTTTCTCTCAAATTTTTCTTCATAATTCTGAGGAAATTTCCTCTCGAAAAACCAATAAGCGTGGGTGACGCAAAACGAGGAATCATTTGTCTCTCGTAGATGATTTTTGTGCTTCCCAATTCCCATCCATACGTCTTCTCATCATTTCGTTTCATTTTATTTTCTTTTTTGTTTTTATGAATGAAAAGAATTTTTTTTTCTATACAGTTTCACGTTCTGAATTGACTTTGCTGTTTCGAATATCTATTTACGCGTGAGATGTTTTGAAGATGATCGACTTAAAAATAGCAAAACGCGAAGAGCAAGCACCGCATTTTGTTTGATGTGCTTCTCATGAATGATCCCATCACTTGATTGCTTGTGAATGGAGTCAATTTGTTCCACGCGATGATGCTTCAACCCACCCGCTCGTCGCTTTTACTTGTTAGCTCAAATATTCACTGTTTTAATTATGTTAATTGATTATCGAAAAATTGAAGAAGTCTTCTATCGTCCTTTGACAGTAATAATTTTCGGTAATTTGCGGTCTCTTAACATGATTATTTAGAGGAAATTAAAGGCGAGGCAGGGAACGGGCCAGGCAGGCCAACGTGGGCGAATTTGTTAATTGAGAATCCTTAGGAAATTGTGCTTAATTCCCTCTACACCTACGCTTCAGACTGGAAATTCATTCGGCTTAGTGTGTTTATGAATGAAATGCTTTTTTTAGATTTGTTATCGTTTACTGTACGACTTCTTTTTCTTTTTCCATTCCAATTTTTTTCACTCCATTCACACGACTTCGAATGTGTCAGGTGGGATGATTTTGTCGATTTGAATTTTAAATTGCTTTCTGTCACTTGTCGTCATGTTTCGCAATAGAAACGAACCATTTAAAGTCGCTACAATATCGCACAAACACAATATTTGCTAGTTAGTTAGTTACGAGGTTTTATTTTTATTTTATTGAGAGAATGTCAAACGTGTGAGTTGTAAACTTGATGACCATAATGAGAATTGCTGTCGATGTTGTTGTAAGATGAAACTTCAGTGGCAATAAATTTATCGATTTTTTAAATCTCTCATTTACCAAGCCTCACCAAATCTCATCTTAAATGTCTTCAGAACATCTTAAACTTCTTTAAGAAACACGTTGGTGTCGATTTTATTTTTTTGAGAAGATTTATTTGTATCATTTTCCGGTTATTAATTTTTATACATTCATTTTTCTTCAAAGGGCTTTGGAGTCGTTAACGATATTTGATTGAAAAGTTTCTTCATGGGAAGCGCCCACAATTTCAATATCATTGAAGGTGGTCTCATAAGCAACTCACATTGTGGTGACAAGAAATTGTGACCAACCTAAATAAATTAACCAATCGATTTCCATTGATAAACATCACGGGAAATTATAAAAAAAAAGTTAAAACTCCTAACGAGTGATGATTATGAGCGGTTTAGGTTTAGTCAAGGTGGGTGTCGGGCTAATCAATTGTTTCGTGTGTGAGCCGATAAATAATCGAATGACGTTCACGTTTTGGTTGTTTTTGTATTTAATGGCGAGCAAGCAATCAATCGAGTAAATAACGACAAAATGTTGAATTGAATTCAATTCCAAAAACAGAATTCGAATTGTTCATATTTATATTTAATTTGAATAACGCTTTGATTGATTTTTGTTGCAACGAATGATTAGAAAGAATGAAAAATAATTATAATGCAACATCCGCTGCTCTCAATAACAAAGTACAATCATTCTCGTCGAATCATGAAGATTGTAAGAAGAAGTGGTCAAAAGACGTTTGATTGATGAGCGTCAATTCGCTTGAGAGAATAAAATAAATATTATGATGATCCATCATGGAAATTATCAACACGTATTTTAAATGTTCACCCACATAAATTTAAGAAGAACAAAAATTTTGTTTCAAATCGATAATTGGCACCGCTCGATTCGATTTTTAAATATGTAAGAAGAAAATAAGAAGTTTAGTGCGTTGGTCGATTGAATTTAGATGTCGACCACTTGACGTTGGCTGGTAACAACCATTAGTTGTTTCAGCTTTCATCAATTGTCGAGTAAAGTGACTCAGCCATTTGATGGTGACGATAGTGATTTCCATCTTTCTTAATTGAACATAACATAAACCCTAGAATGAGAGTTGAAAAAACTCAACGAGAGTTTCTATCGCAGCTGCCCCAAACACCGGTGATTTATTCAACTTCCTGTATATTTTCGAAAAATTCAAATTGCGGAGAATAATTGGATGGAGATTTCACTCGTAAGACTCGTAAAACTTTTCTCGCTGAAGATATTTCATTCGGAATAATGTTTAAGATGCTGACGAAGATAAGAAATTACGAGCTTCCTTTTATTATACTCGAGCAATTAGAATTGTAAAAAAAAATGAAAACTTTTTACCTTCATTTCTTTTATTTTTGGTGCTGCTTGGAAATGAAATCGGTTTTGTCTTTCATGTCGCTAACTTATTTAGCTTCTTCTTTTTGAGGAATGGAATTTGACGAGCGGAAACGCCTCTACGTCGAAGCAACCACTTTGTGGTCGTAGCTATCTTGAATTATAGTTTTATTGACTCGAAAACGACGAAGAAAGAAGAAAAAAAGCTCGTTTGCGTCGCACAGTTTCATTCAAGAAAGTTGAACGTGGTTCTTTTTTTTATGAATGGAAACGACGAGAAAGAAACGGGAACATTGCTGGAGTAATTACGGTGATTTGCATGATGGAAAACAAATGAGTGATAAACATGATGATTGTGAATAAACAGCAAAGACCTTGAATGGGGTCAACGCGATTATTTGTTACGACGAGAAATCGCAAAACGATTTAAGTAAGCTACCAGTTGGTACACTTTACGAAATGAATTGTGACTTGTGAGTGGTGGCAATACCCACACATTGTCCAAGCTCTCGTTTTCGTCAAACGACTTACCATATTCAATTCTATCATAGTTCCACATGGAGATTAAATTTGTGACCAGACATGTTTTTATTTTTTTTGGAAATTGATTGAAATGACGTTCCCCGTGGTTGTCCAATCAATTTTTTTTTGTTATTTCTCTTAAAATGAAACTTTGTTTTGTTATCTTCACAAATTTCGTCAGAGTCAAATGAACGCAAAAGATTGATTAAGATTGCTGGTGTAAATTGATGACTACTGTCAAGCGTCAGAGAGAGATTGAGTGTTAATTTTCAACACGGATTTTCCATCACATAAGCATTTGAATCTGCTCCAAGTGATCAGTGGCATAAATTAATTACATTTTCATAAAAAAAAATAAACTTTACATCAAAGTAATTTTGTTTTATTCGCCTCCTTCCATTCACATTGAATGAATGCGTAGGCAAACTTCATTTCTCGCCATTTATCTTGTCGTATGTTAACCGATAAAGAATATTACATTTGTAATAAGTTTCGCAGATGATCAAAACATTTAGCTTGTCACTTGTGAACAGTTGTCTTATGGCCAGAAACATTAAGTACCTAAATAAATGAATGAAAATAGAAAGAAGAGGAAAAAACAATTTATGAACTTCGGGCCGTCGTCACGATTGATTTAATTTTATTTGACTTGAACAATTATTAATATAGACTTGCACCATCTGCGGTAGAAATTGTGTCACTATTTGTAATAATCTCGGTGACTAAGAAGCTTGGAATTTCAAAAAATATTTAAAAATCATGTTTAGTGTGATTAAACTTCGAGTATTTATGATTCCGATAACTTTGTTATGTTGCCGTAAGCTTCTATGTCTTTGCTTTCATTATTATTGACAGGAACAACATGTCTGTCATAGGCTTAAAAACACAGCCAGTTACATTAAAAAAATTGTTTTTTATTTCCAAGTTTCGGTTGCCAAAAAACTTAAAGAAATATCAGTGAGACAAACTGAGACAAGTTTAATCATATCTGAAGGTCAAATTTAAAGACAACGCGAAATATTTTGTTGCTACTTGTTCGCTTTTAAACAAACAACCAACAAACATAAAAATAAAATGTTTTAGGTTTAGAGATATGCAATAAAAATCCATTTCAATATGTAAAACAACGCATGGTTTTGTCTCGAATTTTTGTCGAAGAAAAGACATTTTTTCACTTTTAAAAAATAGTTTTACTCTATAGATTCATTCACATACACGACTCGTGACCACAAAAATTCTTATGAATGGAAAAAAATAAATGGAATTTTAATTGCCACAACAAACATCAACTGCTGTCCACGAATCGTAGTGATGTGCATGTGTGTGGCATCTGACAATGAAATTCTTTCCTCCAATTAGTGGCTCAAGATGAAATAAAGTTTAGAAAAATGTGTCGGACACGATCATGGCAGCAACGATGCCTAAATGTCTAGTAATCGAATCACATGATGAAGTGGAATTTGTATGCGAAAATATATTCAATCAATCATCGTTTCTTCTTTTTTTCGCAATGTTTAATGAGCTCTAATCACATTGTTGAGTTACTTCTCACCTTCATCAGTTTTGTACATAAAACAAAAAATATTCCTTTACGCCCACGATAAGCTACGTTCAAAAGACATCGAAGATGGATGTGATGGCAGTTGGATATTCATAAATATTTGTTTACTTAATAAATGTGAATGGACAATCACACGATCGTGATAATGAGACTAAACCATTTTGAATCAATTAGATGTTTGTGTTCATCTCCTCTTCTCTCCCCACTACAACTTTTTTTTTTGCTTCTTGGATGATCGAAGGTGTGAAATTTTTGTACATTTTCATGCTTAAACTTTTAACGGATGAATTCGTGTATTGACCAGATGTTGTTGTTCAAGAAAAATGTGTAGCTTATTTGTTGATATTTCTTACTTAAAGCTCTACAATGTAAGTGAGTGAGTGAGAAGAGCGAAAGAATCATTCATTCAGCAAACTCGTGTAAATAGGCTTCTCAAACAAATGGAAGCTCATATGAATGTAAAAGAGAAATATTTGCATTTTAAAGAAGTCTTTTGACACTCGACGACGACGACGACGAAGCTTACGAGTCATCTTTTAAGTGAAATGCGACTCTAATCTACCGCAAAATTGACGGGAAGTTGTCGCAATTTTAAGTTATTGTCACGTAGCTTTAAATGGATCACAAAATAATCTTTCCGATTACTTCAATAGCATTCCATTCCAATTACGATCATAATGTCTCGCCAATAATCGATGATTGTTATTCCCACAGTTGGAAATGTCGAAATGAATTGTGAACCGGATGAGTATTCCATAGACAGAACAGCAGCTTTCCGCTTCTAATTTCCGAAAAGAATTCCGGTTGAGTAGAAAAAGAAAATTAAATTTCTGCTGCTTATAAACTTATTATCTATCATTTCTTGTTCTATTGTAAGACATTATAATTAGATAAATAGACGAGATTCTTTGCTTCTTTATTATTGTGCTGAATTTTAATTCTCCCAATGAGAATAAAACATCCGAAAAAGTTTAGGAAATCTTCGTTCACCTTGACTACGTCAGAAAGGCGACAAATGAGAAACATTTCGTACTAATGTCACTCGACCGTGTCATAATATTTTTTAATTAATTTTTTTCCTTCTTATTTTCCATCTGACTGACGAAAATGCGTGACGAAGGGAGGATGAAGACAAAAAATAAACAGAAAAAGAAGAAACGAAAATCTTATGAATGAAATTGCGCAAGAAAAATTTTCCCCTTCATTTTTTTTTCCTATTTCATGAATGAATGAATGAATGAATGAACGAAAGGAAGATTGAATGAATGAAAATCAGCAATGAAAGTTCTGTCATTTAATGATAGATATCCAGAAAATTCCTAAATATTTTTGAACTCAAAGCACTCGCAATCTTAGTAAACTGAAAAAATCTTAATAATAATTCAAAATAATGGTTGAATGGTTCCATGTTATTTAAATATTTTATTCGTTCTCGTTTTTCCACTTCCGGTTAAAGTTCTCATACTTACTCAAGAGGAAAGAAAAGAAAAGAAATCTCTGAATGGATGTCGTGCCGGGGAACTTTTCCTGCTTGCTTTCTTTTCTGATCATCTTCTTTTGATGCTTTTTATCACAGCAAATCTTCAAATCGTTGGTTATTGTACTTACGAAGTTTAAGTTATGCTGAAACATGATTTATTCCTCCTCGTTCATATTTATGTAAGTGATGCGAATTCTCCAGAATTCTTAATAAATAAACATCGTCTTGGATATCTGAGAGATTCTTTTTTTACTTATTTCTTTATTATGATTTTTTTTTGAATGTTTATATTTAAGTCGCATTGAGAATGTTTTGCTTACGGACAGGAACTGTCGGATTATTTTGCACATAGCAATAGAAATGCTACAGTCATAAGCTGTTGTTGCCATGCTTCGTTTTGTTGCTATCACGTGAACATTTAATGTTTTCTCATATTTGGAGAAAAAGCTTTTGTGCAATTGCTGACACTTCAAGTTTCTTGAAAGTCATGCAAAAGTTAACATCGTTTCGAAAACGACAACGACATCGGCACTGACATCGTCATCGACGAAGGCATTTTTGTACTGGTTTTGAGAATTCTTCTTTGGTTAGTTGTTTGCTGTAGCATGCGAGTAGGCGTTTAAGTGTCACCTTCGTCAGTTTGTTGTGCTGGTGGTTATGGCGATGCCAGATGATGGTTATTTGTTGATTTCGACCGATTGCTAATTACGTTGCGCGAGACCAGATTTACTCGTTTCCATTAAAGCCATTTAAAAAATGCGAGAGACAACGCGAAGGCAGATAAACGATGAAGAGCCGTAAATTCTCTTGAATTTTTATGAATGAAATTGCACAGCCCGCGGTTTTTTAAAATAAAAAGAAAAAAGGAGAAAAAAAAGTTGTTTTCATTAACTTATTTATGGTCGACATTGCCAAACCCCATCGGTTGTTTTATTTCTCTCGATACAAGACGTTTGGTCATTCTTTGCCTGGTTATTACACTTTAATGCATCGCTTAACATTCTGCGGAACTGAGTAGAATCAAGAATGAAAACGGCTTCATTTTATTGTGTGTGTGTATGTGTGTAAATAGTTTCGAAGCTAAAAGAAGTACATAGCACAACATGCTTCAGTGATCGTCGGAATTCTCTTTAAAGGTTTTACTTTTTTATGAATGAAAACCTTTTTTTCTTACTTCTTCTTGTGGCTGACTAATTTGAGATTTAGCCATGGTTTTTAATTGCAACTTTACAAGCGTATTAACTGTGGAAAGGAAATGAAATTAAGCTTTCAAGTCGAGGAAATTAAGGTAATTTAATACGAGTTACGCAATTTGCTGATTTCTTGCTACAAAATCTTTTGATGTAAAGCGTGGAAATTAAAATAAATTTGATTGATAAATATCAGAATGGAAATCTGTAAGATTTCATTTAAATTTGTTTTCTTTTAATTATTTACGCAACTTCCGTTCCCACTCCGAGAATTTTTCTTGTTTTCTTAACCGTGTCACGAAAACAATGAAAACTTAAGTCGTGGGATATTTATTTATTCTTTTTTTCCACACTGGAATTCCATTTCATTCATTACTGCTTCGTTGGCGAAAATAATGAATGAAATTTGAGTTAAGCGACAAAATACAATCGAAAAAGAGTTTTTATTTTATTTAAATTAAAAGCAGATGTCAGACTAAACTAACGACGACGTTTCAATTGGATTGTCAAATTTGATTTGTTAAGCTAAACAAGTTAAACAAAAGAGTTTCAATACTAGGTAGATAATGCGAAGACCATATTGAGCAACTTATAAATAAGTAACGAGTATGCAAGGAGGGGAACATTTCAAAGAATTGTCACAATTTTGAATTTGATTTCAATTGTCATTAAAATTCTTCCATCGTGAGATGCAATTCGACACTTTTCGACGAATACTTTTTTAAAAAGTAATTTCAGAACAACACTAAAGCGAATTTGTTCGATTTCTTCTTCTTAAAAGTCGTGAAATGAAAATACGTTTGTGATTAAGTATTTTTATGATTTTCATTCATTGCTTTTACAGCAAATCAACAGTTACATTCGTTCATGAATGGAAGTGGTAATAAAGTTGTTTTATTGTTACTTTAATTTGAATGAATTCACGATTCTTCTTCGACGTCTGACCTTCGCAACCAACCACACAGAAAGCAGAAGAAGTTCCAAGAAATATTTTCTGTTTTATGCCAAATTCTTGTTAAAATAAAAGAATAATTTTAAAAGATGAAAAATAATTGAACAATTAATTTTTTTATAAGAATTTGTGACGATAATAATTGTATTGACTTGTTGTTGATGTAACTTTGTGAATTTTTTTATTGCAAGTCATAAATCATGTCTCGTGTGCAATTTTTTCCTTCCTTCTCATCTAAATTATTGCAAATTTCATTTCATTCATAAAATTTGCTGACGTCGTCGAACGATTCAAATGTGCTGGGCAACTAAAGTTGAGTAGATATCGTCGAATTATTATTCCTTTTTTTTTGTTCTTCAAGCAAATTCTCGATATTAAGCGCGCACTTAAAAGTGATTAATTGATTTGAACGAGACAACCTTGATATTAATGAGTCAATAATTTACTCAATTCCCAATTGAGAAAAGCAATTCTCATAATAAATGTATTTTGCGAAGTTCGAGCTTCTCGCACATTCCTTATCGTCAACCGCGGCTATTTTGGTAATTCGATTGTTTGCATTCAGCTGATGAGGTGGAAGATGACGGGCGCCAATATTGTCAAATAAATCGATTTGTGGACATAAAAGAAATCTAATATTCTCCAATCGTTAGAAGACTAACACAAAATTATTTACTTCATGAAGATAAAACCGAGAAGAAATAAAAATAAAAATAAAATATTCGCTTCTGATCGATTGAAATGAAGTCAAAAGACTTTGTCCGATTTCATCTGAAGGCGGCAGATTTCAATCTACCCAATTAGTTGATGAGATAATTAGATAGCGGAGCGCCGTTGATCAAATTATGCAATCAATACTTTTTAATTTATAAATGAACATTTAATTTCATCGATATAAACGAATAATTTGCATAACTCGCCTACTATTTACATGTTTGACTGTTTGGCGCTGAAAGCGCTGAAATTGGAAATTGCGATCCATTGAACTGGTTTAAAGCTAAAATAAACTTCTCTTCGTGATATTTGACGATGATGTGCGTCAAAAGTGATCCAATTTCGGTAAATGGATTCCATTCGTGTGCCTGCGTAAAAATATTTTTAGTTGTTATGTTGGGGAAATTCAAGATTGTCTTTTTTGCACTTGTGTAGAATTATTGAGAACGTCAATAAAGAATGTAAATGTATGAGGGTTACCAAGCGATGCTAAAATTTCTGTTGATTCCAAAATCTTTTGACGTATCACTGACGATGGTGAAAATCCATCACGAAGTTCTGTAATGCTTTGACTTGTTTCTCCTTCAATATAAGCAACTGCAGCCGCTAAATTATTTCTTGTCAGTCTGAGAGCTTCATGAGCGTCTTCTTCTTTGTATCCCATCATAATCATTTCATTGATGCTACTTTCATGAACAATTTCATCTTTCTGAGCATAGAATTTGACGATTTCCAATAAACTATTCACATGATTAAAACTGGCATTTGATGGCCACTTGGGCGACGATAGAATTGAGCTACGATGTGGTGATAAAAGTTTATTAAACTCTTCCAAGTTGTCTTCAACAAATCCCGACGAGATTTCGTTGTCAATTAGCCAGTCAAGTGCAAGTTTATGATTGCTGGCTTTTATTTTAATCGCATGGTCGACACATTCTTTCGTAAATCCAAGTTGCATCATAACTTTGACAGCATTCTCATGATTCTTCATGTAGTTCTGAATCTTTTGACGGAAATACGAAATGACATTACTTGCGAACGAAGTCATTCCAAGAACATGAGCGGATTCTTGTGCCAGTGTTATAAATATTTTTCTTAAATTTTCCTTTCGAAGCAATTCGTAAATGAATAATTTTGGTGGATTCGCATTCATTATTTTCTGATCATTTTCCAATTTAGTTGGAATCAAATCGCTTTCAGCTGAATTTGTCCATTGTCTGATGAATAGAATTTCTTCGTAGTTTTCAATTTGGAGATCTTTCATAGTTTCCAAATCGTTTATAATTGTTTTTGTTTTCCCTCGAATGAGTTTTTGTTTCATTATTGCTCTGTCGATAAGCTCAACATCATCACTAATGGATGAAAGTGGTGATCTAAGAACGGCTTCTTTCAAGAATTTTCCATTTTCCCATTCTGGAATTTGAACTTGTGTCACTCCAAGCTTTGATATCACTACAACTGTTATCAATGTTTCTTTTATTGTTGGCTGACTTCCAAAAGAAAACGAAAAAATATTTGTAATTGGTGCTAAAAAACGCGAAACAATTTCGAAATTTGACATTTTAAAGAAAACTTTTCTCCTTCTTGGGAAATCATTTCACAGCTTGCTTTCATTGCTTGAGTTCACGCCTTCGTAAATTATCATATCTTTCTCTTATGAAATTTATCAGAAAAGAAATTCCATGAATTCCATTCCAAATGTTATTCGTTACCGTCTACTTCTGATTCTTTTTAATTCATGAATACTTTAAACATTCCAAAGCAATACTGATAAGCACGCAATTTTCATGTTTAATCGCTGTTGGATTCTTCGGAAGAAGTAGGCTTATTCAGTTAACGATTGTTACTTCCCTTCGCATCAGTAAAACATTCCAACATGCAATTTTCATCAATAGACTTTTCCTGGAATTTCTTTGTAATGCATAAATAAGCAATTGCAGAATTGTTCGACCATCATCATCACTCAATGGAAAAAGCGTGCGAATTCTTTCCTTTGCAGCCTGACCTTTGCATCATTTTATGGATTATCGAATACGAACTGATTGTGAATTATGAGATTTCCGATGATTTCTTTCTCGTGATTTATTTTGCATCTCACGACTTTTATTTTCTCCCAGCTTCATCACGATAATCTGATTTGCTGTGGGCATCACATCTACATGTAGAAACAAAAGTAACATCGTGTATTTGCTGGCTTATGTGACTGACGACAAGAGGGGGAGGAACTAGTATGCGGGAATTGTATTGAATGAAATTTTCAACGAAATCATTTCCATAAAATACATTTTTATTAAATTCAACATTTCCTTTTCCATCGTACTCCGCCAATGTTGATTTTATTTTGTATTTTATTTCCGTTGAAAATTTCATTCAACATGCGGGGGCCGCAATAGTCAGTCACTCGACCCGACCGACCCGGCTTTTTTTTGGAACGTGCACGTAACAAAATATTAGTGATTTCCGGCTTTAATGAAATCGCGCGAAGTCGAGACAGACTCGCGAAAAAAAGAATAAAAATAAATAAACCAACAAACTCGTAAAACTAAAACGTCCGCAATTTTAATTTCTGTCGATTATGCGAAGTGTTGATGCTGATGTGGCTGATAAGCAGAATTCGTTGTGAAATATAATCGCATCATAAAGAGGAAGTGGTGTGAAATTTTGCACTGTTAAATGACGCCATTATCAGTCATAGTCCAGAAATTGCTTAATTAATTGTCGCAACGACGTCATTTAGTAAAGAAAATAATCAATTTACACCAACAGCCGTAAAATTATTCATAGTTTCCTCTCAAAACTCGAACTCATGTCTCATGCTGCACATTCTTAGATGACTGTTCATAACACGTCTCACATTTTTCATTGATGACGAGTTTCATTTCATTCATGAATGAATTGCATTTTATGGTTGTTGGCATTAAAAGAATAAATGAAAAAACTTATCCAACAGTGACGAAGTACAAGCAATGAAGACGACAAATTCTTTCTTTCATCTTTTCTTACGAATGTTTGCAAATATCAAAATTAATATGAATTTTAAATTTCTAATAAGTCTTTTAACAATGAAAATTAATTTCATGAATGGAAACGATACAGTTGTCTTCTTCAGAATTCTAATGCTTACAACTTGAGATGAATTTGTGTCTCTAAAACGGTTCAATGATCCGATTACGTCTTGGTAATTGATGTCATTCTTGTCGCTGTGGGATGTTGTTATATTGTTGAAACTTCTTTATTTTATTCCTCCATTCAACTTAATGATTATTTCAGTAAGTAGATAATTAGCCATCGACATATTTGTGTTCATTCCACCCGCTCAAAAGACATCATAATTGTGTGGAATGTTAGATCGCTAATGGAATTACTTTAAAAAAAAAATACACCATCGCAAAATGTGAATCAGTTAATTATGTTATATCAAACTGATTCCGTGAAAACTACACAATTTTCGCTTGAATTCTATTCAACGTCAGTAAATATATATCAATATTTTTTTCCTCCTGTCCTAGTTTTCTGTCTCTCCCCGTCTATGACAAACAAGCGGAATTGCTGATTAGATAACAACACGCGATTCCATTCATAAAACAAATTTGTGATGTGTCTGGGTGGGTTTCACTTTTTTTTTATCTTATCGTGTTAATAAATCACCGATAATGGTTGGGAACAAATATGAATGAAGTTTTTCTTTTCTCAAACTTCTCTCCGTCTCAAACAGTAACAACAGCACACTTTTATGTCTCATATACTGCTTGTTTTCAATTGAAATCAATTGATGTCTTGTCATGTTATTGATGTTTTGTTTTCTTTTGGATTTTCCAGTATGCGGGAATTAGAATTGGGCCCGTTGTAAAACGTGACGTCATGAAGGCTTCAATTATGCTGGAACATCAGTCTGAGTAAGTAAAAGCCACATTTGCATTTTTTTTCCTTTCTCGGTTTATGTTCTCTCCTTTAGGAATTTCAAACGAAAAGTCATAAAAATCGTCGACATTAAAAATCCATTCACATGAAAAGGATGTTCTTAAGTTCTTAATGGAATTGAAAAATGACTTTTTATGACTCTTTCGCTGTTTGATTAAATAATTTTCTTTTATTTGTAAGCAACAACAAGTCAGAAAGATGTTTTAACGACTTTTGTTATCGATTTTTCGTGTTCATCATTTTATGGGCTTTCTTTATTTTCGAAGTATCTCTAGGGCGCCGTGCGGATCTTCATGACTTTTCTGTGATCTAAATTTAGTTTCATTTCAACCGCAAATCGACGCCTCATCATCATTAGTTCAATTAATTTCCTTCATAATTCTTTTTTTACTTTGTTGCCGCGTAAACGCGTGAAACTCTTGATGACATTTATGAACGTCGACAGCTTGTAAAATGTAAAAAAGTTGTTGAACGTGTTGAAAAATGGCATTCATCTGATGAAATCGTAGAAAAATTTCATAAAAAGACAAATAATTATGACACTTTACTCTCGTTCATTGATCGAAATTAAAAGTTTCTCTTGATGGCGATGAAAAAAAATTTAAATCTCTTACATAATATCACGGCACAACTTGCAACTACAACATAAGTACAACATTATAAACTCAATTTATATCATTTCAATATGTTTATGGAATTTTATCAATCAAGTTATATGTTAAATGACGCAAGAAAAATCATTGAGCATAAATGATTCCAGACTGATAAAAATGCTTCCGATTCATTAGAGTGTGAGATGTAACAACAAGTAACCTTAATAATGAGGTTTATATCATTTGTTATGTTAATGCTATCATCGCATTGTAGACATTGCTCTCGTTTACACAACCCATTTCTATTTATGTCATAAAATTTTATGCTTCAATTTAAAAATTTTTTTTTCTTCACATCTGACGTCATTGCGATGTTCTGCCGTTGCTTTCAGCCTCTTTACATGATAAAACTCAATCACATCAATATTCGAAATGCCTTTAAATTTGTGAATGATTATTGTCGTCACTTAAGTATTTACATGTCAAGAATGAATTTATGTAAAAGTTTTTATCGATTTTGACAGAAATGTAACCCATTAAAGTGGTTTCAAATGTTACTCAAAAGAAGAAATAAAATAAAATTCAAACACGATTTTTATTCTGTGAATATTGGAACAAAGTTGAAATGGAACACATTGAGCTGAACGAATTATTTTTTATTTCATTTATCTTGACAATTCTTTTACATTGCCAATAAAATCACATAATTATCTTGAAATTGTCTGTGAAATTATTTTGTTATTTTATAAAAATATGAATGGCTCGACCACGTGTGATTTTAGCCGGAGTGGAGTATGAACTCAGTGCTGTATAAGTTATACGGTTCTGAAGACTCCGTGGCGCAACGGTAGCGCGTCCGACTCCAGATCGGAAGGTTGCGTGTTCAAATCACGNTTTAATGAGATAATAAAAATGTTCCAATACTAATAAGAAACATTTCATTGAAAAGCCTTCGTTTCATTTTTGTTTCGGCTTATATTGTACATTTAGCAAGTAAAATATTATCTATCGGTGCTGTATAAGTTATACGGTTCTGAAGACTCCGTGGCGCAACGGTAGCGCGTCCGACTCCAGATCGGAAGGTTGCGTGTTCAAATCACGTCGGGGTCAAAATTACTTTTTTATTCACGAAAGTTTTGCTTATGAAATATTTTTTTGCAAAATAAATTTAAATAATTTTCATATATGAATTTTTTATCC